AGCTGGGCAAAGTGCAAAAAATCTAGATTTTAGGGATGAAGTGCGAATCCCAAGCTAAGGCCAAAGAGGGAAGTAGAGGCGTGCTCGGGGACACAAAGAAAAAAAGACGGATCCCTTCAGGATTTCCATTCTGTCTAGTGTATATATGTATGCTTGCTTTCATATTTTTATGCATGTCTATCGTTTCGCGCGCATATTCAAACGATTTTTGCCAACTCAATCGGCTCATTTTTGTTTTGGTACGAAATTTCGTTTCGCCGTCATAATTGCCCCGCTGTGCTACGAAAATCGCGAGAAATTTGAAGGAAGGTGTAATCTCGCTGTGGCACCTCACTATTCACCTCAGCAAAATTTTTCAAATTGGTTCACAGTTCTTTTCCCTTCTTATTAATATACGTTCTTTGGTATTAATATACGTTCTTTGACCACAGCATTCACAGTCTCTTAATTTCACTTCACATCATTGTTATCACTAATGAGTTCGCTACTCCACTGATGATTCGAGCCAAAGAACGTATCTTAATATACTGACTTAATATACGTTCTTTGCTTATAATAAACGTTACGTTACGTAAACGTTATTATATTATACGTTCTCTGACGGACGTGCAGAAGTAGGCTTATCATTTTGCCAATACGGCAAAAAAGAAACACTTTAGATTTATTAAATAATTATGATGAATGTGGTTTAGAATATTCATCAAAAACTGTGTACAAAAAGAGTTTTTTTTATTGAATATCCCAACGCAAATTAACGGTCAACAATGGTCACTAAAGAAGGGAGATCTAGTGCAGAATCCAATGAAGTTACCGAAGAGAGTAAAATTTCGGACACAGGAAACGGAAAAGCTTTACTTACAAGGTACGAACTTTACTAGATGTCCAAATGACGGTTTATTTTATTTTTAAAGTTTCTTTGTAATCCCTACTATTTTAATTACTCTCCTTTGAATACGGCTGTACATTAATGCTATCTAAGATAACATTATTATAATCTTATAGCAGAAATTACGCACATGTGTACATAGATTATAAATAAAAGAATAATTAACTTTACTAGGCAGAACGCTTCTCCTGGATACTGGCTATGTGTTTTACTACCAATTGCTTTTATTTCAAATTTCGTGCATGGAAAGAGATGTTCGGAATTGGATTCAACGCAACCTATTCTTGCAATCGCTGCAATCGGAATGAGTATAGAAAATTTTTGCCTTTTCGGTTTTATCTTTCGCAAAACAGATTTACCGCGAAAAATATTGATTGCGTTTGTACCTGGGCTATTTACTACATTACTCTATAAGATCCTGTTACAACAGTTTTGGAAATACTCATTACTTTTGGGTTTTGCTACTACCTTCTGTTATCAAAATACATACATACGTATTTTGCGTGGCCTTCCCGGCTGCTTTAGTTATGGAGAGGCAGCTGTGCTCATACAAGGCCTTATTTTGTTTCTCTTAAATGTAATTTTAAAAATTCCCGATATTTTATCACAGAATAAAAACCGCAGTGATTTTGCAGAATTAAATGTCATAATGATGGTTTGTAGTATAATTAAAAAAAATTGTAACGGTTGTAAGTTCCATATCCTTATTTCTAGGTCGCTCTAACCCATTTGCTTGGAGTTTGCTGGTTATTAGCTGTTGCCAAAATCTTCCGAAAGCCTTCCTTTTTCTATACTTTGATGTTCTTACTGTTAATAGCTGTAACATGTGTCCCAGTTACAAATCCAATTCCCATAATAGTCATGGTAAACTTCATATTGAAAGACAAAGTTAGGGTAAGTATAATTTTCTTTTTTATTTTGTTTTAATTTAAAACATGAATCAGTTTAAACTTACAGCTGAAAATAATTTGCTTATACATGATATTGGTGGTTTTAACTGTTTTGACAGTGTGGTGGCAAAGCGGCATTGAAGAGAAAGCATCTACAAGGGTTCGGAAAATATTTCACATTTTTATAGCACTAGTTTATGTGCCTGGAATAATTTATCAATGTAGCTTTCTTTACATCGCTACCGGAGTAGCGTTTTCAATATTCACAGTAATAGAATTAATCCGAATTTGTAACATACCTCCATTAGCACTTGCAACCCGAAAAGCATTTGCAACATTTTCCGATGAGAAAGATTCAGGACTTCTCGCTTTAACACCATTTTGTTTACTTATTGGGTGCTCAATACCGATTTGGATAAGCCCTTGTCCTTGTGGCGATACCATTTATACGAAAGATATTCCGCGAATTCTTCCACTTTTATCAGGAATTCTGACAATTGGATTCGGCGACACAGCCGCTAGTGTGATAGGATCAAAATTTGGACGTATTAAGTGGCGTGGTAAGTATCTATGTATATACAGTACATATGTAAATGTATGTATGTATATATTGTATTAAAAATATTAGAATAATATTTAAACTTTGAAGGTTCAAAAAAGTCTCTGGAAGGCACTTTATCATATATAGCGGTGATAATGTTGGCTATTATGTCCTTAAACTACTTGGGCTTTGTCATCATGACGCCTTTGAAATGGTGTATTGCAGTTATGGCAGTATTGACAACATCTTTGGTTGAAGCACATACGGATCAAATTGATAACCTAACTTTACCCATAATATTTTATACAATTATGAATATAAGTTGAATTTTGAATATTTTTTTTCAAATAATTACGTGACTGATATACATACGTATATTTGCTTTCCATTTAGAATTTTATACAATAAAAAACTTGTTTATAAATGAATAGAGTAATTATGGTTGCCTTTTTGATATGTTCTAAATGATTACAAAGAACCCGCAGTCACTCGTAAAATAGGCTTATAAAATGTTATGCTGATATCAAAAGCTTGCTCCGGTTGTCAACTTCCATAAAGCAAAAGACAAAGAAGAAAACTACTTGATTTCACCCGAAAGCGAAACTACTTGAATTTCTATATTCATTTGTTTATATAAGCACGCGAACAAAATGCGAATGTGTAATCGGGGAATGTCAACCCATTAATGTTTATTGGTATGCGCTGCAAATGTATCAATCGAAATAATAAAATCCATCAGCCAGAATCATAAATAGTGGGCAATTAGGACTTGGTATTTCCGAAACAAAACAAAACACCAACATTTAGCCTAAAAAGCTCGCAAAAAGCCAGCTTACAACATATAATGTATATTTTATTTTTTAATTTCCACATAAACTATTAATTCAAAACAAAATTTATTTTTCAGTATTTATTAAATTATAAAGAATAATGCAGATTTTAGTTATTATAAACATTTAATATTGGTAATACAATTCTTTATGTTAAACAAAATATATAAAAAATTAAAATCTTATACGTAATGTATAATATTTGCGTTAATATTAATTTTTTATTTAAGAGGAAAACATTAAATACATATGTATATCATATGTGTAGTATATGCATGTCTTAAGTACAAAATACAAACTGGAAAACCGTATTTAAGCAGACAATTTAAAATTTTGTTATTTTTAAGAATTAGCGCCCTTTGTCTGCTTAAAAAGCACAATTCTTTATACTGATATTGAATAAATACACTGCAATCATTTTCAATCCTATATATGTTCCACTTCTGGGGCGATGAGTGAGCAAACACTTTTCAGACAAAAAACGTGCGATTAAAATAAATGAAAAATCGAAGTCGCAATTGACCTGCTAATATAATTGAATATGAAAATTTCAAACACTCTGGATGAATTCTGAGACAATAATGGACACGGTAACAGCAATATAAAGAAAGAAAAACTTGCAACCCACTTTTTATATTACACAAAGGATCTACGTGTTTATTTGTGAGTGTGTACACTTCGTTCGTGGACGGTGTGGAGTTAATTTTACGAACAGGTAGAATGAGGAAAAGTAAAGAGTATAATGTTAATGGCACTTGGCAGAATTTAACAACAAACTACCTACATATATGTTGTATAATGCAGGTGGCTTTATGGTAATTATACTTGCATTCTTATGTTTATTTAATAGAAACTTCAAATTGATTTTATTTCCAGTATTTCTTTTTAGCTTTTTAAAATGCGGTTTCATAAGCATGGATTTTAATATTGAGATACAACTTATGAATTTTTATTTTTAATTTAGAAAAATCATGGGCAGTCAGATTTTCTGTCTGTCTACTATATGTTATTTGTTTGTTATTCAAGGATACTCACTGTTATAAGCAGGAGCATCTGAATGATAGTAAATAGCAAATTACTTGTGCCCATATATATATTTAAATATATAGATTCTAGTGTCCCAAAGTAAGTAATTACCAAATATATATACATCAGCACAATTATTCAAATTCTTTTGAAATTGTATTGTGATTGAATTTTGTTTATATGTAGAAACAGACAAATTGGAAAAAAAATTTCAAAGTTGTATATTTTCCAGTAAATTTATTTTTTTAAGCGCAGAATGATCATATTGATTAAAAGAATATTTCTTACGAAATGCACTAACCAAGGTGGCAAGGAATTTACGGCATATAAATGCCAATTTACAACTATGGGAGAATACTAAACATTGGTACATATATGAATACTGAATTCCAACGAGTAAATTTAATGATTTCATTTTCACTAAAAAAAAAAAAAAAAAACATAAATTATACTGTAAGCAATGAAGCAAATTACGTTAAGGATAAATTCAGATATTTAGATTATTTATTACCTTTCTTATGATCGTACTATATAATAGTTACATGTAAATAATTGAAGTATTCGGAAAAATCGCAAACGCGGTTAACGATTGTACAATGCTTGTGCACAGAATACGTACCGTGTCAACAAATATTACAAATCCTGTGTTACCATATTTTTATAACTTTATTTTTCTCTTAATCGAATAAATGCAATTTTCCGTAAATATTCATTTACTTGTATATCGGATGTGCTTCATAATCATTAATTAATATTTATGTATGTATATGTGTATTTTTAAGTCTGATTCGTATTTAAATACATGGGCATGTATGCATCTTCGCAGATTGTACGCCTATTCTTAAAAGGACATGTAAAAAACTGACATTGCGTATAAAAAGTGTACAAATGTTTCTATTAATTTATCAATGTTTGCTTTATGTTTTCGATGTGTTTATGTTTATGAGTGAAGTTGCTTTTTCCAATATGTTTCTCATTTTAGCTCATGCAGACAATTGTCCGCAAAGTGTTTGATTTTGTAAAAAATAACAAAAATTAAAATTACGTTTCATATATTGATTCCATACAAAATTTAACTTTAAATGAATGTTTTAATTGCCCGAATCTTCGCCGTCTAATGATTCATCTTGCACCGAGGAACTATCATCGCCACGCTTCGACGATGATGGTGTGCCAGTCAAACGGCTTGAACTTAGACCCATACCCCCACCAGCTCGTCTGCAAAGAAAACAGAGGATGAAAATGTTGCATTATTGGTCATTTTAAAAAGTTATTATAAAAATAAATCATGCGCAATAAAGAAGAAGTAAAGGCTGTATTAACACTCTGTACCATTTTAAAATTTTGTTTTTAATCGGAATAAATAGTTTGGTTGGGAGGTTGGGAGGTAATTATATTGTATCATGCGAAAGAAACAATATTTGTTAAATGGTTGTTAGTAGTCCGATGTTTCATGCTTCCATCAGTTTAACACAATGTCTATAACATAGCACTGACATCACATCTGTACAAAGATATTGCACATGTAAGACAGTCTCAAGATACAAGTTGAGATATATGTAGTTTTAAGCCACCACAAAACTCGAAAATTTTTAGAAAATAAATTAAAGTGGCTATTTCATGCCGGTGTTGTGAGATTATCACCATATTTTATTGATGCCGCATACTGGAAATTAAGTTATTTTATGTCCCGCGATCACCATATTCTTTTCAACTTAATATCAATAATGTACGGACAATTCTTAGTAGTCAGATATACATTGCAATCTTGCACTTTTTCCAATTTTAAAACCATTTTTTGACGTGCAAAGTTCGAGAAATAAATAGCGTAAAACTCTTCGCAAAAGATAAGCGAACCACATGACTAGGTTACTTACTATGTGACAAATAAATTGTATTTTTATTAAATATAAATTGTAATGAGCAGGTCCTGGAAAATATTAAAAGAAAATGTCAGCAAATTGTACGAAATCGACATTACTTCCAGCGTAACCGAAATGATCTATATTATTAAAGTATGTGAGAAATTTTTTAGTGAAAATATATTCCATATACATATGTATATATGAGGGATTTTCGAGTGTAAATTATGATTAAAAAACTAAAATAAGGGGATTGGAATAATTACTTTACGTTAAGGAACTCTTCATATAATAAAACATGGCATGGATATTGAATACACTAATAAAGGAACATTTTATGTTTAAATGGAATCTTGTGGATCAGTTTTTGGGGCAAATACATAAAACACGTGCGTGAACTCAGTAATACGAATAAATGTCGACACTCTTACATTTTAAACTATTCCCAGTTTAAACTGTTTAATAACGGCTTTATAAACCTTCACAATTCATAATTAGTGAAGCGTCCTTCTTAGGCGAATAGGCCTTCGCCTTCTCAGTTTCTGCTACTTGCATCGATCTATAGTTTTGGCATTTAAACGAATTATTTTGAATTTAATCGCCATAATACATATATGAACATACATATGTATAATAAAAAAGAATACAAATTCAAATTGCCATTTAAAAATAATTTGAAACACGCGTTACAAACAAATGTAATTCTGAATTTAAAATCTCTTTCTGTATTTTTATTTATTAGTTTTGCTCACCTTAATTTAGTTTTTAATGAGTTGATCTCACGGTTCATTGCTTCTTGACTTTCGATCATATCTTCACACTCCCGCTGATATTTACGTTTTTGCGTTTTCTCCTTTTGCAATTCTTCCTCAGTTTCGTCAAGATTTCGTTTTAGTAATTTCATGCGACTGTTGAGCTATGTAAAGTTACACAAAGATGTCAGTAGTTTAATAATTATAAAATTTTTATAAACTTACTTTGTCGATTTGTTCCTTGTATTGATCGGCATGGCGACGTTCATCTTCGATATTCATTGTAAGCTCTTTAACTTTCTTATCCATTTTTCGGTTGGCCTTTTGCTGCAAAAGGCGTTCTTTAACCTCATTCTCTAACTGCTCTTCAAGGTTAGTTATCTTTGCTTCCAGTGTTGCAATTGTAGCCTTCACTTTAGTGCGCTGAGTCGTTTCAATCTCGGTTAGTTTGGCTTTAAGCTCCTTGTTCTGTCTCTCAAGTAACGCCCGAGTATTTTCGTTCTTTTGGGAATTGGATTTTTCATTGGCTAACTCCGTTGAAAGCTGTTCAATAGATAACTGCGCTTTGCGGCTACGATCTAATAGAAGCTCTGAGCTAGATTGCTCCTCTTCCAATTCCTCTTCCAGCGTGGCGATGCGTGCCTCTAATCGACGCTTCTCATCAATCATAAGGGAACCTTTACTGGCATTATTTGAAATTTCTTCAGCGAGTTCATCACGTTCAGTTTCTGCAGAGCGTCTTGCCCTTTCGGAACTGGCTAAATCTTCTGTTAATTGCAGAACTTCCGCTTCTAGTGCTTTCACTTTGCGCTCAGCTTCTTTACTTGCAGCTTGCAACTCCTCTTTTGCTGCCTTTGCTTCTTCAGCATCACGCAAAGCGTCTTTAACTTGCCCTTGCAATTTTTTAGCATGTTTCAAGGCATCCTCTTTCACTTTGTTATGCATTTCCATGGTGGTTTCCATTTCTTTCAGATCCCCTTCGAGCTTCTTCTTTGCTGCCACAGCCGCAGTCCGTTGTTTTCGTTCTTCATCTAATTCGGCCTCTAAATCACGTATCTGTTTTATGAGTCCACGACGTTTTTCTTCGGCCTGCTCTTCTTTAGCCTGTAAATCACGCTCGAACTGCGACCGCATAGCTTGCATATTAACTTCCAAGCGCAGTTTGGCATCTTCCGTTAATTGCAAATCATCCTCAAGCTCTTCGTTTTGCGATTTCAATTCAGCAAGTTGAGACTCAAGCGCTCGTTTTGCCTTTTCTAGTTCATGCACATTCTTGTCGGCAGTACCTTGTGTGTTAGCTAAATCATCAAGCTCATTTTGAAGTACTTTTCTTTTATTTTCAAGATCTTCTATCTTATCATAAGCTTCATCGAGTTCACGAGTTAATGAGAGCACCTTGGTCTCTTTTTCTCGAGCTTCGCGTTCAGCGGTATCGCGCTCTTGGGCTATCTGTTCCGATATTGCCTTTTCTTCTGCTAGTATTTTATCGAAGTTCTTTTGTTTCTTCTCCAGTTCAAGCACCTGTAAAATAAATGTTTAAATAATAAACAATAAGATAGAACGTTAGGACGCAATACCTTTGTACGTTGTGCTTCCAACTCGATAGTTGTATCTTCAAGTTCGGATTGTATCTTCTTTTTACTCTTATCCAAGCGATCATTTTGCGCTATTAATTCTTTCACTTGCCTTTCCAGGCCTTCAACTTCTTTATTCAAACGTTTCTTGCTCTCTTCTAACTCTTTAACCAAATCAGCATCTTCCTCTGCCTTTTTCTTAATATCCTGTACTTGAGCTGTTAGTTCGTTTAATTTACGCTCATAATTACGCTTCGCCTCCTCATCCTCTTCCAATTGTTCTTGTAATGCCTCCTTTTCTGATTCTAATTGCCTTAGCTTTGAACTCAGGGATAACTTTTGGCGGGTCTCTTCCTCGAGTAGTTGCTGTGCCTCAGTTAATTGGGACTCCATATTACTAGCGGACTTCACAGCTGCCGACGCTTTCAATTCGGCCTCTTCCAGCTGATTCGTTATGTTTTCAGCTTCTTGCTGCAGTTTTGTGCATTTCTCTTGAAGTTCCGATCGAGCGCGTTCGATTTCAGCTAATTTCGCCTGTGCGGTAGATATGTAAATAAATATAGCAGGTTAAATAAATTTATTTATATATTTCGTTACCAATATATGTACCTATATGAGTAAATTATTTTTCTCTTCAATAAATTTATTTAATCGGCTATGTATATACTAAATACTTGTATTTGTAAATGAATTTTTCTGCAGTAAAGATAGATCTAACCGATATCTAATTTTTGTAGTGTTATATAGCTTGAGTCTAGTGTTTGAAGAATTGACAAATTTTTATGATGCAAACATGAAAATCCAGATATACTATCTACATATATTATTAATGAAATCGGTAATAATCATTATTACATTACATGAGCAATATATTTCTATAGTATCTTAACCGCAAAAACTTAAATTGTAAATCGAGCTTATGCTCGTATTTATCTGTTATACCGTGACGATTATTTTGTTGTACCAACTATTGTGTGCAAATATGTTGAGACTGTAAAAATATTCTGCGTTGCTCAAGCGAATTGACATTGCAAATGTGGGAATCGAACTAAAGCTACGAACGACAGTATATATATAATTGGCCTCTGTAACCGCTGTAGCGATTTTCGGCCGAGCTCCTCCTTCAACTTGTGTGTTAATTAGTTCTTTGAGGAAAGATGAAATTTAAATTTCTGGAAAAACGTGTCACCGCCTTGGACCATGTTTTTTCAAATGTAATGGCATTATTCCACATGCTCTTGATAAACACAATCGGACGAAAGACAGATTATTCAAAAAAAATAATAATAATAACAACAACGGTAGAAAAAATAGATCTGGATTTTGATCAAAAAGGAGGCAATAAGTTTTAAATGCAAATAAATATATCTGCTAAACTTAATATTTATTTTAATTGTCGTACCTGAAGTTCGGCAATTTGCGATTCAGCCTGTTTTCGTCGGCGATCATTTTCTTGCCGTGAACTGTTGACACTACGCAGCTCTGTCGCCAAATCTGCATTTTCCGCCTCCAAAGAACCTTTCGCTTTCTCTAGTACTGTTTTTGCTTTACGCAGATTCTCGAGTTGATCGTTGATGACATTTAATTCCTGGGAATGCTTGTGTCTCATTTCAGACAACAGAGATTCATGATTTACCGCCTCTTCTTCCAATGATTTCTTAAGTGTTGCTAGTTCTTGTTCACGCTTGGAGCGTAACTCTTGCTGAGCTACAAATGGTGAGGAAAAACAAGACATTCAATTATATGTTCATATGTAAATGAGTAATATGCATATATTTAAATACATATGTATATACATATGTACATATGTACGTTTGTTTTAAAATCAATTTTTGAAAGGCTTTAATATAAAAGATATATTGAAAATTTTTGATAACAATTTCGCAGAGTTCTATTAAGGTATCTAATGTTTTTACTCACCAGCTGTTGTGTCTAATGAATCCAGGAGCTCGTTTTTCAATGCCTCTAACTCTTCACTCAAATCTCTTCGTATTTTTTCAGCTTTCGCTCGTGCAGCCTTTTCTGCTTCTAAGTCTTCCTGAATTTCGGCCAACTGTGATTCTAATTCGCGCTGCGCTTTTTGTGCGGTGGCTTTAGCTGCAGATTCCTCGTCTATACGCATCAGAGTTTGCGTCAGCTCTTCCTCGCGTTTCGCTAATTGGAGTTGCATATCTTCTACTTGTATGCGACGCTCATTCATCTGTTCCTTCAAATCAGCTACTTCTGTCTCAATTTTACGCTTCGTGCGATCAGATTCCTGTCGTTGCTGCTGGTCTTTGTGCATTCTCTCTTCCAACTCGGCTATTGTGGCTTCATGTTTCGCCTTCAATTTACTCAAATGCTTTGCTTTCTCCTCCTCTTCCGCCAAGGTTTGGGAGAGATCATTTGCACGTTCCTCCAATATTTTTTTCTCTTTTATCAACTTCTGATTTTGATCATCAGTAATGGCCAAATCCTCCTCATATTTTTTGATTTTAGCGTCTAATTGCACTTTTTCTAATTGCAATTTCTGTCGAGCCGCCTCTTCCTCTTCCAGTTGCTCTTCAAGATCTTGAATGTTCAGCTCTAACTTTTTCTTTTCTGAGCCAAGTGCAAGTGATCTTTCTTCTTCTTCCTCAATTCGAGCTTCCAGCTCCTGCATCATATCCTCTAACTCTTGCTTGCGAGCCATCAATCGAGAGCGAGACTCTTCAGCTTCGGCACAGAGTTCTATTTCAGCTTGCAGCTGTTCAGCTAGAGTCGTCTTTTCCTCTAGTGCTTGTTGATATTTGCGCTCAAATTCTTGCGTACTTTTAGCCAATACGTCCAGTTTTTCTCGCACCTGCTTCAGTTCATCCTCCTTTTGCACCAGCTTCTCCTCTTGCTTAGTCACTTCTAGCAACGGCTTTACTTTTGTGTACAAGCGCCACCATTGCCAATTGCGTAGCTTTAAGTAAGCAGCACAATTCCTTTGTATTATACGAATAGCATTTAATTGTTGTAGCCGCTTTTGATAGTTGCGACGGGCAAGGTAGCCGCGACAGAACGCTTGGAAATTTACAATCAAATCTGTTATCTTGTAATCTCGCTCCTCTTCGAGATGAGCCAACACGCCAGCACGGAAGAATATTTTTGACTGACCAACACGGAAGAGATTTGTATCCAATTCCAAGGCCTGAATCATTTTCTCGCATGCCTTTTTACCATCCATGAAACCTTTTGGTATAACGTTCGGCGTGAGCAACTCGTACCTTTGACGGAACTCTTGGAATGGAATGCGGTTTGGGAAGCCCTGGCGGCAAATACGTATTCCCTCTAATACACCATTACAGCGAAGCTGATCTAGCACCAAAGGCGCGTCTATTTTTCCAGCTCGTTTTTCATGATTTGGTATAATGCAACGAACAAAGTTTGGATTTGTATTGCGAAGTGTGTCCATCAGCTTTGCCAGTTGTTCTTTATACAAATGTGAAACAGTTCGGAACATTCCCTTACGAGTACGAGCACCGAATTGAGTATCAGTTAAAGCTTGTTGAGCCATGCCTACTATTTCAGCGTCCTTCCAGATATTTACAACGAATGGATCCTGCGAGGCTTGCAACAATGAGACAATGTTTTCATTTAGCGGATCCATATTTTTCATTAGCCATTTTGCTGCCGAGTAATCAACCTTGCCCGCATAGTGAACGATGGCAAAATCGGCAACACCACGAAAATCTGTTTTCAAAAATTTCGGGTGCATCGAATGAGCTGAAACGAGCTTGTCTACGAACGTTTTATCAGTAGCCTTCGGGAACCAACATTCCTCGTCCAGTAATGCCATTATACCGCCAGGCTTATCTATTAAATCAATAGTCGGCTGAAGATCCAGACCGAAATCTATGAATTTCCATTCAATGCCTTCCCGCTGATACTCTTCTTGCTCCAATATGAACATAGTGTGATTGAAGAGCTGTTGTAATTTTTCATTGGTGTAATTGATGCATAGCTGCTCGAATGAGTTCAATTCGAATATCTCAAACCCAGCCATATCAAGAATTCCGATAAATGAGGCACCTTGACGTTTGGTACGATCTAATGACCTATTAATGCGGTTCACTAACCACTTAAACATCCGTTCGTAGCAAGCCTTTGCAATCGCTTCAACGGCAAATTCAACTTGCTCCTTAGTTTGGGCTTTTGTAACGAAATCACGTCCCACTTTAATACGAGGTGTTAGGAACGCTCTAGTCATGTCTGTCACGCTCAAACCTAGTAAATGTGCAATCTTTTGAGCAACTGTATTATCGGGAAGTGTCGCTTGATCATTATTACGTTCCTGTCGAAATTTCATACAACCAAATAATAGAACAGCGCTTACTATACGAAATATGGAATTAAAGTCATCACTAGTCATGCCCATGATGTTCATTGACTTAACAGTCGCTTGGAATTCGGCAAAATCATCTACGCCAGGCACAGGGAGGCTACCATTGGAAAGAAATGGATATGTTTTGATGTCATCGAGTATGAACTTTTCACGTTGTTCAGGTGATGCACCAGCAAGTAATTGATAAAAAATATGGAAGGTCCGTTCATCCTTGGCTTGACGGATCGCGCGAGATTTCTCCAAAAGATATGTCTCGATATTCGCACCCGATATATAGCCCGATGCATCGAAGTTTATACGAATAAACTTACCCTAAATATAATCGAAAGAAAAACAATATTAAATTAAATTTGATTTTAAAGGAAAAAGCAGAAGGGAATAAAAATTGGTAATGCTCGAAACACATACATATGTGCAACTATAAAAAAAATGTGAAATTTAAGGTTTATGTTTTTAGTTTTTCTTTCTTATATCGAATTAAAATTTGTAGGACAGTAAAATAATTTAATAATAAAAACAAACAATACTTACAAAACGAGATGAATTATCGTTTTTCACAGTCTTGGCATTTCCAAAAGCCTCCAAAATGGGATTGGCTTGCAATAGTTGTTGCTCTAGTTCCCCCTAAATAAATAAAATATTTTGCTTGGGTTGTAATTTATTTATATAATAATAATAATAGATTTAATTTATTTGACAATAACTCGATTTGTGGAATGAAAATTAAACACTTATTCTCATTAACTATTTGTCAAGCAAAAAGTATTAGATACATGCAAGATATTGTACGTACATATATATTATATATATAATCCAATTAAAACAAATATACTGGATTGTTGGTTAACAGGACTTCTCAGAACATGACAGTATTAATACTTATACAATAAACAAAAACATTCATTAACAAAGCAAAAGCAAAAGCAAATGTACATGAAATAATAAAGTCTACAATTTAAATGTGCAATATTTACAAATATACCTTAATCATTATACAACGGCATCCGGAATTTTCATTCAATTTAGACACCTCTTTTTGACTTTCTTTCTTAGAACAAACAGAATCAGATACACCATGGACATTACATTTGATTTTATAACTTTTCTTCGCATTTACTTGCAAATTCTGTAAAGTTACAATTGCTGAATATAATTTGAAAACATAATTTGCCAATTATAAACATTCATTTATTCGGGAAAACTAAACCTGGTTTCGGAAACATTTCACAAACATTTACTTTAAAACTCAAAGCGTTCAATGATATTGAACAATAAAGTATACGGGACTACATCATCATAAGAAATATTCAAGAAATAAACATTTTCCTACATTTATTATGTTTATTCTCTTATTGGAGCTCCACTTCCACCGTATGTGTACTTAAGGTTATTTATTACAAAACTACTTAATACAAAAACTATTTATTTATTCTACCATTTTTTTTTTGTATAATAGAAACTGTTGTTGTTTGTTGGATTTTATTCATTCTCTAATGTGCCACACCAAAATATATACAATACATCACTACTGCTAACCACTTATATTTTTTGCTCTTTATTAAGGTTATCAACTATTATTTTAGCTATGACTTTTATTAAATTCTTCTTGGCAAAATTCTATATTTATAGGATTATTTGAAAAAAATTTAACTCAATGTATGAATCTATATGGTTTCTTGTAAATATCAGGAATGTGCATTAACACGAAAGCCTATAATGAAACACCAAAATTGAAGAAACACTTTTTTATGAATTGCTCATTCACATCTATCCGTCGGCTAATCCAGTCACAAATATCACAAATTTTGATATTTCTTATATATGTTAATAAAAAGTTGAAAAGGATCAAAACATTCTACAACATGCTATCGATTGTTCAGAGGAAACAGCGTAGTCAGATATAAGATATATATGTGAATATTTTCTTAGTTTAGTTAAGTTCGGATCTGTGCAGTAGAATAAAATGTGGCATACAAAAAAATCAACATTGACTAGCGATTTTTAAAACAAAATATTCAAATCAGGGTATGTTTACAAATTTACTAAGCATTAATTAAGTAAATCTTATGATTTCATACTTTACCGCAAATGTTTCCGCATTAATACTCTAAATTTCATGTATTTTGTTTATTTTCGAAGATGATTAAAATTAGTAGTTGTATGATTTACCAATTGCGAGTTGCACAGGCGATAAAAATTTGGCGATTTATGCAGTTAGAAGAGCGACGGGTTATAACAGAAGTTGATGTATTTGTTTTTAAGACCACATGGATTAGCATTCAATGCCAACAATGGATGGATATTGAGCCGTTACAATAATTGGTTGAGGCGGAGGTAGCATAAGTTATATAGTGAGTGCAATAATAATCGCAAGAGGAACAATTTAGTATTAAGGGTAATTACATTGATAAAACTCATTTATAGCACATCAAATAAATAAAAATTTACCGAACAAAAGTTAACGAAAATATTATAGAAATCAAAATAAATTTATTGCGAACTTTCTCATATGTTTGTGAAATTCTTCAACGCATGAGAATGTTTAGTAAATCACTTTTATTTTTGTATTTCGAATTACCAACAAGTTTTCTAAACGTTTTCAATATTTTCAAATAATCATTCTTATCCATTGATTCAATAAGTGTATACTTCAGTCACGTCACAGTTTTGAGATATTCAGTGACGAAGTGCAACAAATCATGAACGAATTTGGTGATTAATACTTGAGAGTTGTGAATTATTTTATTTATATAATGATTATTCCTTTTTTTCGGATAACTCATGTCTATATTTTTATTTAATTTTATATGAAACATTCCACCCCAAAGAAAGTACCATTATATTAAGAAAAGCAAAATGTTATTATTAATCCACAACGATCCAACACAAATTATAGAAATCATTAATAAAAAATTTTAATTATTAACTATACAATAAAAACTAAATAGTTACGTACATAGTATATACAATCAAAATGATATAAAACATAACATAGAACAGAGGAATCATTTCTGATACTTACAATAATCAAAGCCGGATGAGGTCCCTTTATAGTAGAAATTGTTGAGGTAATATTTTGTTTAGGTTGATTGGTGGTGGTCGGTCAGTTCATAAGAATTTTCGTGGTATTAGTTATATTATATTATTTTATTTTATTTATTTTTATTTAGATAATAATAGATTTGTGGACGTTTTGGTGACAGTGATTGGGGTTGTAGCAATAATAGAGTAGACGCAGGTTAACGGTGAATTTTTTTTAGTGCATTGGTGTAAATATTTTTTTTTTAATAATATTATTATTATTATTTTTTTAATCAATAGTAATTATTTGATATTTACATTTGCATGTTTTTGAATATAACAGTTGAATTTTAGGAATTTTGAAAAAGTAGTAAGCAGCAACCAATCAATTTTACAACATAGTAGGTTATAAAGTAGTTCATTTGCAGAGTAAACATGAAATAAAAATAAAAAATCAGAAATTAAAAACAATGTTCAAGGTTTATTTTTTTCTAAAATATTATATCAACGACTGAAACCTTCTCAGATAATATAAATTAAATTATGCAGAGCATATGAAATACAGATATGTACATATTTATACAAATAAAAATAGTAAGTAATTGCTCAATACTTTTGTACTTAAAGGCAATAATTTTTAGTAAAAATTTAAATCTAGATGTCTGGATGGTATCTGAACAAATACCAACACGTCGTAATATATTGTAGATTCAAACATTATACTTTTGTTTTGCATTATAATTCATTAATTTGAAAATAATAAAATAAATATATCTACATACATACATACATACATACGTAAATACCTACCTAGTAAGACATTTTCCCATGCTTTAAGTGCAAATTTAGCTACTCAAATACATCCATACAAATCTCTGTTTGAAGAGGTATACCAATGTGCGTACCAATATGGTCATAATATTTGGTCAAAATATAGAATATGACAAGAAAAACGGGGTCGAATAAAAATCAATATGGTATGAATATAAGAAAACAATAAATGCATTTGTTTCTGTTCAATATCGCCAGCTGGAAATGCAGCTAAATGCACTAGTATGACTCCCAAACGTCATAATAGCGAAATACATATACATATACATATACAATATGTGCTCATATATTACAAAATTCCAAATGTACATATCCATCTACATATATATAATATGTACATATGTACATAAGTATGTATATGTATGTGTTTTATGTGTTGTATGTTTTAAGCGTTGTAATTGACTGCAGTCAATAAAGCAAATTTACAAATATAATTTTTCCAAATACGGCGTTCAATAAACAAATATGTGATATACCACATGCATACACGTATGTACCTATAAACGCTTATGTAGCAAGTAGCGTATAGAACTATTAGGTATTTATGTATACATAGTCATATCGAGGCAGACATGTACTACATGCTCACATACATAAATGCGTATTTTTGCTGCTTAGATGTACATATGTATGGAGTATTTTTAATTACTTAAAAATCTTAAAAGAATTTCATCGCAACAAAATTTTGATTGCCATTTAAATGTCGTTTTTTTCAATTCAGTCTTTGTCCTTGCCGTAAAAGGAAACTAATCTACCAAGAAACATGCTATATTCCTTATTGGTTTGATTGAATAGAAAAAAATAGAATCGTGCTTCTAAACTATATATATGTATATGACTGTGTGGTGTAGCTCGTATTTCCAGTGGTATTAATACCCATGCAAAAAACGATAGCAATATGTACATACTCCACGAGAACAAGGGAGTACTCCAAATGTAGCCACAATCCATACCAACTAAATAGTCTAATTAACATTGCGATGACCTAGTGCTGGACTCAAAGCTTTGCTGAATATCGGAGTACTCTATGAAGTAGTTACAGGAATTTAATTTTGAAACTACTCCTCAAAGGTGCTCCATGGAATGCCCACTGGGAATTACATTATGGATTATTTACGAAAAATTACTTTGGAATACATTCCGCTTTGGTGAAAAGCTAATAGTATTTATCATATAAATTTATTTTGATAGTAATAAAAAGCGGCCGCGATAGCGGAGTGATTAGCATTACGTACTGCCATTTGGAAGACCAGGAAACGAGTCCTGGTCCCACCAACATCGCCCCTTAGCAGGGAATGTCAATCCCTCCGAGTGTATTTATGACATAAAAATCAAAAGCTCCTCCTAAAAAACCATCAACTGTTCGAAAACGATTTAGTATATGCTGTAGAACTGTAGATCACTCGATTTCTTGGAAAAACATAAAGCTCAGCCGAAAATCGTTTCAGTGATTACAAATCGTAAATTATATATATAAGTATATATATGTTATGTATAATAAACATTGCAATTCGTGCATTTGTTCTGAGAACTTCTGCAATTGTTCTGTGAACCAGCAGACCTCACCACCTAAATAAAACAGACTCAAATTCAGTTTTTTAAGGTTTCTGTATAAATATCAAACTTAATGATCATTTGCAACTCCATCCAGTACTTAATGGTGACTGTTAATACAGGAGTAATCATCGGCTAGCAACAAACTGGTACTGCGACGTGAGTTGGGCTCAACGCCGCATTACAGAGGAGTGATCCAATCCAATAAGTGTTCCACTCGATCATATAGTCCACAAATATTTCAAGGTAATAATAAAAGGTGACGAATCCTAAACAAATTCTGTATATTTAATTTGTCTTATTCAGATGAGGGACCGAGCAGCATTATTTACGAAAAAAAAAAGTAAATATCGAGACATTCTTTGGAATATTATTCATTTTATTTTGGACTAGGTCGTATTTCTCCAACTCAGAAGACTCACTTATATTAATATGAAAACAGCTGAACTTGCTTAACATTCAAATGTACATATGTATGTATGGGTTTGCATTTGAATACATGTACATTGATTACAAGTGATTCACACTTTTTGGTGTCTCATGAACGTGAAAAGAGCATATACACATACATATGTACGTATGTACGACTATGGCTATATTTGAATATATTTAAACATAAATGCTAATATAAATAATAATAATCATTTTCACGCATGCACAATTACATACATACATATGTACAAACACATTTATGCATGGTAATCAATTAAACACGCCGACAGAACGTTTACTTTAACATTTCGAAAATTTTAATAGTCTGTTGTTCGAAAATTCGAAATTACCGTCAAATACGGGTGGCTGTAAAAAAAAAAAACAAATACCACGTATATACATACAATACATCCATATGTTCGTAAGCTGATTCTTATTGATTAAATTGAAAATATGTATAAATATCTATTTAAATTAATTAACTGCCAACCATGGAACCAATGTCCGAATTAAAAATTTGTACTCCTTTGCTACATGCATGCATGTCCATACATATGTATGTTTGTAGGCATATATGCATACATATATACATACATACTATGTATGTGTGAATGTACATTAGACTGTGCGTTGTTTATCAAGTATACGTTTATAATTTTTACTTATTGTACGTTTTACCGTTACCAGACGTTTTAAGGATTTATGTGTTTTGTGTGTGTGTGTTAATTCTGAAGGAAAAAATTACTGGGTAAGAGCTAAAATACCGATGAATTGCATTTCTTCGCCAAATAGTTAATATTTGCTATTTTTAACATGTCAAACACTACTTGGTTTCTGCATCGAATTGACCGCGTTAAATATGATTTCGTTCGTGCTATTTGATTTTATAATTTTTTTTTTTTTTTTTTTTAAATTATAATACTATAACATATACAAAAAAATAATTAGTGTTTTATTTCCTTAGTACATCATATATATCATAAGTCTCCGATCCCGCGCGACCGTTGCCGTTACAGGGGACCGCGCGACCGCTTGAATGTTAAACAAATTTTTTAGTGGAGTACATTTTTTGAAATAAAATTTGAACTTATCTCAAAACAGAGCACATTTATTATGTGACCTTTTAAATACTATTGTAGTTCAGAATTCGTAATGGAGAAATTCATAAAAAAGTAAATACAAATTCATAAAGAGAAAATGTATGTAACAGATATTATGAAATAACGGTTACCCTAATAAATATGTTAATATAAATTGTCTATAAAGTTCACTCGTATGTGTGTATGATACATAAAATAAAAATACCAAAGTTGACCTTTTTCAATTTTATCTCTCTTAGAGAGAAACCCAACTTGGAATTCCTAAGTTGTGCATACATATAAAAAGATTACATATTAAAAAATACATGCGTATGTATACTTTGTACAACATATATATAATATATGTACATACATACATTTGTATGTTTAATGCTGTTTGAGCGGTTTGTTCATTTTTGAGATATTTTTTCGAACTTCACCATTCCGAATTAGACGACATAGTTCACCTTAAATGGAGCTAAACTGACGTCGATTCGCCGTTTTGTTATTGTTATATTGCGGCTATAGCACATTCAAAAGATGCTTTATTTCATCACAACCACACGATCGTAGCCAGTTCCCCACATCTTCATTAACACTGCGAAAAATATGCATGTTTATTTACATGTATGCATATAGTTGTATTCCACATTTGTAGGTTTGGTTTTTATTTTTATTAATTTCCTTTTGCGCTTTTTACCATCGTTGATTTGCCTTTAACTGACATTCGTATTTTTTTACTTTTACAGGCATTTCGTTTCCTCCGCTTCTTTATTTATTCACTGATGTGATGAGTCAGGCCTTAAATATTTTCGCTCTGAATCGCTAACGAAAAGGTTTTTAATCATTTCACTTCAGATAATTTTTTTAAGAAAAATAGTTGTTTGTTTTTCACTTTTTTCTCTGATAATAATAACGAGGGGCAAAATTTTATTACTCATATGCTCGATAAATATATATTACACATATATACAATGCAAACTTATATACACACATACATACATAATGATGTATGAACATATGTATATTTGTATGACTATTCTTAATGGTAAACGAATTGTAAATGATTATATCTAAAACAAATAAACTCTATCAATAAGCTTATGATAAAAAAAATGTATTGGAAGAATAAAAATAGTGCATTTAAAAGCAAATTAAATTCTCTATACATGTATGTATGTACATATTCATAAGTGTATGCCAGCTAAGATATTATTAAGTAAATCTCCAAAAAGGGTTAAAACTTACCGCTCCCGAGCCTTTTGGTTTCGATGCCGCTACATATGCTAAATACTGTATAACTTTTTTCGTATTTTCGGTTTTTCCAGCACCTGATTCACCAGTACATAAAATAGATTGGTCTTCCCGATCTGTATTTAGAAAAAAATTATAATTTAATCACTAAAAAAATTTAAATTATTATAACTTCAAAATTATTAAAAATTATATAAGCTTAGTCCGTAGCATTAGAGCTGGTAGGAAATAAACATATCCAATGTGGTCGCCGATGGCTTTAATACTTACATAACTTAATTTTAGATTCTTCCTTATATGGAAACAGAAGTATATTGACTTTTTATAGCGAACGATTCTTAACAGCTTAGAAACATATACATTTACTTTTTTAAATCAAAATTGATTTATACATTTCTCTTTGTCTATCTATTTTCCTAGTTAAAAGTAAAGAGTTCTTCAAAGCAAGAATAGCGATAATGCCGTAATTAAGCACTCTAAGATGCCAAATTTCATTTGTGGGAAAATCAAATGTAAGCACAAATAATCGGCATATTGAATCCGACCCAGAGATGAATAATTAGCGATTACAAATGGCTTCAAATATTATATATGTTCATATATATTGAATTATGATATTGAATTATATTAAATAATGGAAAAAGACATCTCAAACCCAGCTGAAAGATTTCTTTAGGGAACTTTTTTTTTATTTGAGCAATTTTGAAATAAATAGAAAAATTATAGAAAGAAATGTCTTAAAGAAATCGAAAAATTATGAATCACTTAAAGTGTCCATGTAACATATAAAGCAATCGATTTCTTTCGCATACGAATACAACTTCGCTTTAAAAGAGTTTGAGCGTTCAACCAAAAACCAGTTTAAGCAAAAGCGTTTGAATTTACATACGAAATACATCTGAATACAAAGACCCAATTGCAAACAAAGATATTCACCAGCCGGCTCGCTAACTTCACCGATTTGTCACCAGTGTGTGATTCATAAATGTTCGCACAAATATTTTCAATTTGAACGCCGAACACCTTTTATGTAAAATATAACGTTAAGTGTACTTATCGAAATTTCACGCTAAATGTAGCTTGGGCAACTTGTGGTAAACTTCTTTCTACCTAATTGTAATCACAAAAATATGTATTGTATGTGCTTATGTACATATGTATGTGTGTATGTACTTGAGTTATTTTTTTATTTTACTTTTTAGAATTACTGTTCATATTTTAGTTCATACATACTTATATATATATTGTATGTATGAAGAGCAAACACTCGGCATTAAGGAATATCAAAGTGCCAGCAATTCCACTAAAATAGAAGCAACAGTTCGAACTTTATCTAAAATGAGTTCCCTAAATCAAAGAAATCGTATGACGAAGTCTTAAAAATAGTGCGACACGACACACAATTCAATTTCTCTGAATAACTGTTGTTATTGCCCTAACGACTTAAATCACTTTCAAATAGGTAAGCCTTTTTTAATTTATGTTTTTCACACTAAGTAAATTGAGTAAATTCCATCCATATAATTTTCTTGCAAACGGTTAACGGTTGTCTAATGGTCAATTTCACCAGAACGAAGTATTTACCAATTGTTTTAGATCGATATTGAGCGTAACTATTTTTTTGTTTTTTTTTTTTCTAAAAAAAATTTAAAAAAAATCGAAATATTTTTTGCTGTAAAATGCTAGAAAATACTCTTAGAAATAATATAGAATTAGTCTCGAAGGTCCGCAAGACAAAGAAGTAAATATAAAAGAGTGGGGAGTGGAGAGCGGAGAGCGCCAAGTAGTAAGTCCGACCGCCCGAGTATTTTAATCGCCTTTTTCTCGTTACCATGTTGTTTCAACTGGGTGACACTTTTATTTGGAATCTATCTTTGTGGTCGGTACTACAACCAAAATATTATATTTGAAGTTTAAAAAAAATATTATAAACAATTAAAATTGAAAAAAGTTGCCGAAATTTTTGCATTATAAATAGAATTAGGAATCAATAAAGTAAATAAAGTTTACCTTGAAGCATGGATCTATAAGCGGTGTCGGTTATTGCGAAAACATGAGGAGGCACTTCATGCCTTTTAATGCCCTTATACCGCTCCATAATCTTCTCAGTATATATTGGCAATTTTTTGTAAGGGTTTACAACAACACAGAAGAGGCCAGAATAAGTCTGCAAGAAAAAACATATATTTCCTTTTTATTCAGATAAGTATGTAAATATAGACATTATACATTTAAGAAAATAATAATATTGTTGTATAAAGCTGGATGATATGAGTATAAAAAGTGTATTTCTTATCACGTGCGAGTACAAAACAAAGAATCAAGCAAATTATTATCTATTATTCGAAGTGAACATAAAGCGAGTTTATTCAACATACATACTTACATAACTGAAAATAACAACATGTAAAAATGTCGCCATCGCAAAGAAGGATTCGTATGTTTGAAATAAGCTTCTTTTCAGATCTTTGAACATTAAAAAAAATTTAAATGGGCTTGAAGAAATTTTCATATGACAGATATACTTAATAAGCAATTCGTTTATCTCCTTAACTGTGGTTATGAAAACACTAAAAATATACACAGTAGCATGAATTCACAGTCGCCTAGAAGTGGCAATTCCTATTAATACTTGAAACTCAAAATAAACTAATAAAGAAAAGAGCGGATTGTGGAGCATTTGTTTTTTTAACCTTAAAAATGGATGAATGCTCCGATTGTATTTAGTTTTGATATAAAACTCTTAAAAGATTTATTTTATTTTTTTAAAAAAAAGCATTAGTACTGTCCCGATACTGGATGATGTCCAGTCCCCGGCACACTTGTCCTACAACTAATTTTTTTACCGATTTTTGCGAGAACATATCTTTGTAATTCTAAAAGGCTTATTCTCACTGTTACCGAGGAAGTGAATTTTGTTACTTTTCTTTAACACCAGAAATTGAATTTGGTATTCTGGCGAACTGGTTACAATGTTTGAAAAAAAATTTGCCATCACTGGTTTTTTCGTCCATGTCAAATTACATTTACCAGTTGATAAAGTAAAAAGAAAAATATTCACATCGAAATGGAAGACGGTGCACATAAAAAATTAAAAAGTTTTATAAATTTGTTTATTAAATCATAAATATTTGAACCTAATTATGGAAAATATTCCTGGACAACAAAAAAGGCTGTATGAAAACGATATCTTACAAATTAAAGGGCTATTTTTTAGTCTCGAAAACTTCTTACAATACGGCTTTTTGCACTTTTTTCTTCAATTTCAATGAATTCCAGGCCTAAAATATGCCTACCCATTTTGGTTTATTATTTTTTCTCAAACTTACAACACAAAATCAAACAGCAGTTATTTTTGTTACCTCCTATTTCGCTGGTAACAAAATTTACAGGGTGACAGTGAGCTCAGAATACGAAATGGTATTCCTAGGTATTAAAATGTAAATTTTGTTACCTCGACAGAATAGGCCTGTAAAAGGGGAATTGGGTTTGCAGAAAATTGAATCATAAGACTTTAGTTTCGCTGAACTATTTAATTTTGGAAGAAGCGGAAGAAGTTATAAAAATTTTGACACCTACTTTATCGCCTTACGAACTGTGGTATCACTTATTTAGACTAGTTTCGTTTTCTATTTTTTGTTTTCTTGAACCCATAACTCGTTTATAGACGATCTCATCCATGTCAGACATTTGTACCATTGTCGGTCATTTTTCACAATATCGATTCGCATAACAAAGTTTTGTTCTTACAGACAAACATATTGATTAGAAACTATTTAGATGAAAATATGCCGTGATTTCCATATTTTACTCAACCCTTAAGAAACCCAATTAACATGAATGTGAATGTGCACACACTATTGTACATATGTATGCATATACACGTATGTATGTACATCTGTACATTCGTAAAATTAATGCACATTTCTCGCATTTCGAAATAATATTTGACGCGACAGCAATTTTATATTGGTTGGGACAGTGTACGTGCATTGACTTAAATATAGAGTGCTGAGATGCGAGAGAGCATATTGAAGGCGAAAGGTGGTCGGCCAAAGCTCAGCAATTATGGTCGGAGATAGCGACAATTTAACGACTCGACAAATCAGCAACTCGCTTAGCTTACTTGGCAATTAAACGTAGCACCTCGATCTGATTTCAATTGCAAGCTCAACGATTTTGGCATGAAACATAACAATGCCACAACGCTACCTCTTCGACTAGCAAAATAAATAATATGTATGTACTTAATGATTTCGAGTGATAAAATTAAACTAAAATAAATACATCCAAAAATGTTCATTCCAAAATAACAGAATTAGAAAAAGATTTAAAAAATTAATCATGACATAGATAGGTACATCCATATATACGAGTACATACATACATACACATGTATGTACGTTCAAATAAATTTACACATCTTACAATTATCGTATTATTAATTCAAATCTACACATTTATTGTCAGAAAAATCAGAATTAAGCAATTAGTCTTAGAATAATGCGCATGGCGTTATAATGTCAACATTGCCATTAATCGAATTTTAAAATTAAAACTGATGGCAATAAATAATAACAGGTGAAAACTAAGGTGAATCATTAACGTTGCAGATTTGCTCTTGTACAACACAGCTTTGATCGTATCGTACCATTTTATTTGTTTAATCATATATAAATATGCAAAGACTGTTTTCTGTTTGAGTAAAAATTTACGTACATAGTATATTATATATTTATATACAATATGTATGCATATGTATATGCATTCACGAGTATTTAAGAAAGGTTCTGGAAAATACCACGAATTGCGTGTTCTATATGGGAATGAATAAGCGATTTTAGCAAACCCCTTTCACCCTTTTAAGGATCTAGTAATTTAATAGATTGTTTGAACTGAAATATACAATGAAAAAGATTATTCACACCACATACAAAAAATGTATAAGATATAATAAACGGTAATGCAGCTTTGTCTTTTCACATTTTTGTTGTTTATGCGGCATTGATTAAAATTATATAATATCCATATATGTAAGTAAGCAATAATCAGAAATTGCACAATATTACTACTGACGTTAAAATTGTATTTAAAAAGTAACTATTATTATTAAAAGAAACTAATGGTTTAGTCTTCAAGAAGTAAAATATCGCAGAAGTTTTGGCTGTCAGTCGGCAAATAGAATAAATAAAAGTACAGCGTAAATTTTTTGGAGAAAAGGTTAAAGAAATTTTTAAATTTCACGCTTTTATTCGCCAAACTTAAACCAGATTTACAGAAATCAGTGCCAAAAATCAAAAAAGTACACCATATTGCAGTCAAATATTGCTCCTGATGTCAAATGCGGTATTGCATTTCACTGTTATTAGGTGCACCAGTATAAACACAAAGGTTAACTAAACAACAAAAATTCCAATCCTTCTTCCGAGAGAATCACCTACAGTCGCCCGGGTTGTGATATATATATACGAGTATATAATTGGCGCTTTGTAACGGCGAGGGGCGACCGCAATTAGAAAATTCAACTTCATTTTTTATTTAAATTCACTTTTCATAATTTTCGTGATGGTGGTCTCAGGATTGGAACCCTGGCCTTCAGAATGACAGTACGCAATGCTGACCACTCGACTACCATGTTGTGATACTTTTACCTTAAGTGTCCGATATATATTTACATATAATACATAATATACAAGAGGGGTTCTTTGATCTAAATTTGACCGCACGTCCATCTAGACTTGCAACGGATAGCATGAGTAAAAATTGATAAAGCTTCGATTCCTCTACGACAACGCCCCGATTCGGTATTATAAAAATATGCCGTTATGTTTCAGTAACAGTTTAACTACAGATTGAATATTTATTAGTGAGGATGCAGTGTGAACAGTTTTGGAAATCATACCATATGAAAATAGATGAAATTTGATAAGAAGTCATTCCTCATATGACAGCAGTAGTTCTTAACCAAAAAAGTAGTTAAGGACAGGTTTGGTAGCACATGCGAAAAAAAGATTTTAATGGGCGAATTATAGCCTAATTTTGGTCTGACAATCTCCTACAACACTTTCGATTATTGGAACTCATATTTGTATATGGTGGCCGCAGTATCCGAGTTGTTAGCATTGCGTACTACCATTCGGAAGTCCCGGATTCAAAACCCGGTGCGACCAACATCCAAAAGAAAGCCGAAAATCACTTAAACGGTCACAAAGCGGTTTTTTTATATAATATCGATACTTTCACGTTAAACAAAAATTAATCGATTCGGTTGAAACATTTCGAAATTGTATCGTTTAATCGTTTTATCAAAACCAATTTTATCTCGTTTTTACCCGAAACGAAAAGATGTCGTTAATTTATTTTCAATTTGACGTTAACGATGAATTTGTGCGTTTCCAACTTTAAAAATTTCATTTCGTTTCGATAACATGGTGACGAAACGAAACAAAATCATTTCGGTAAGTTTATTTTCCATATTAACAAAACGAAGTATGTATGTATGTGGCATCGTTTCGTTAGTTGAGCATCTCTGATTGAAATACATCTATATCTCCATCGTTTACTTCTAGTTCGAACAGACAGCTTGAGCGCATCCGAACGGATGATTCTATTTTTTTACTCTAATTACTTGCAAAAAGCACGGGAGATTGCCATGAATTTTGGAAATATTCATGAAAGGATTTATTGCGATCGTGGCATAAAGTTAACTGTGCGACATAATTCAACAATATATAAATACAATAAAGAAATAATAAAATAAATTTTTATAAATATATTATTATTATTATTCATTACTTACATAAATTAAGCCAGAATAGTATCTGTCTTTGATGTTGTGCAAAACTGAAGCCTCGTTTAGACATGTCAGTTCTGCCATATCTTCGACTTTGTCGAATTTCGGAGGGTTCATCTTCTGTATGTCATCGCGCAAAACCATCATTCGTTTGCCCGTTTCGGCGAGCTCTACTTCAACTTCGTCCCCATGTTCACGCTTAATACTTGCGGCAACAAAACCCTGTAAGAAACACACACAAACATTGAATTTTATAATACGTTCTTTGTTAGGGCTTACTACAATAGTAAATTAGTAAAGGATTTTTTATATCCTCTTGAGATTTCACGATTGATATTGTAAAAGAGGTGATAGATAAAATATAACGAAAAGTACCAAATTTTTTCATCTAATGCCGAACCATCATGTGGAAGTTAACGAGTATGAATAAAAATATTTCCAATTGTTGGAAAAGCATCCAGACGACTGTATATCATTTCTGTGCTTATAAAAAATCATTCTCAAAACATTTCGAAATATTCGAACGCAAAGTTTCATATTTTGCTTTGACTAAAGATCTTACACTATACATGAATTTTTTATTTAACTGTTTCGAGATAGCTGGGATGTGTTTATCCCAAAAAGTTTCTTCTAAATCCTGACTTTGAATATACCATATTTGAAAGAGATCCCAACTCGTTCTTTACGCTTATTTAGTTCCATTGTTGACGGTTTAGCCGGGAAAAAACTTTCAAATTTTCACAGATGGCATTTTATGTAGTAAATTTTCTTCCGGAGTATTTTACGTAAAAAATAAATAATTATCTACTACCATCTTCTTAAATTACCCAAATTGTTGAAAATAATACAATAAATAATGAAATATTGCAGGTAAACAAAAATCTTCATTATTACCTTTCACCAATTTTTATATGTGGTATAAAAATACATTTTAGTCCAATGACTCTAGATCCCTTACAAGATATTTAATTATATATATATGTAACATTGATAAATGGTAAGTAATGGTAATTACCAATTACGGTAATTGAAAAAATCATTTGTTATCAGTATAACAGAAGGTATTAATATTTGTTTTAAAACTTTTTAATCGAAGTTAAAGATTCAAATGACTTCCTCAAAGATTTTAATATTTTCTTATGAAAGCTGCCCTCAATTTGAATCCAACAAGCTTGAATAACATTTATACATTTTGCTGATCCTCAAGGAAAGTGAAAACATGACAAACGGAGTTGAAATACAATTATTGTCATCTGCTCATAATCGAAATTCGGACTCTACATTATAAGCTGGACGAAAGATGGAAGGAAACAGAACAGTTTGTACTTTTCAATTACAAAAGTGATACTGAGTTGAATTTCAGGGCCAACATAGTTACTGGTGATACTGGTACCTAAATGGAAAAGATTATCTACGACTTTTACAACTGTCTACAGTGGCGTGGAGGCAAGACTCGAAGGCGTCGATTATTCTCTATGGAGAAAGCAAAACTAACGTCACGGTGTTCTTTTTGTTGCTGTTATAATTACCATTTCCATTTAAATCTTACATGAGTATGTTCCAGTCTTAAAACATTTTATTTGTCGTCGCTTTTTTCATTGAGCTATTTAGCATTCCTACTGTCTAACTAACTTCTCAAGATACACTTTTCGACCTCTTGATTTTCTGTCTGTCAACGGTTTCATTTCCAGTTCTAGGTATCATTCCCACACAGTGCACTTTGCGGTCGATACTCCCAAAATATATATGTATGTACATAAATGAAAATCCATCAGGCCGGCGAAAGTCCAAACCGCCCTGAACTCGAGACCGATCCTGGAAGGAAAGTTACATTTGCCTCTTACATTAAACAGCTACAGATCTGTTTATCAGCTGCTATAAACTACATGAAAAAGGAGAAAGAATTTACTTAATTATTTAAAGCATTCAGTAAATAGGTTTTGATACGTAAAAGCGAGTCAGAGGAATCAATGCTGACGAAATGTGTATTAAAATCGTTACACAAAGATTCGAAAAGTTCGCGCATTTCAAAATTTGCTCTTCATGATCACAATGAATGGGACCTAAAGTGCCTCGATGGTCTTATATGAATGGGATATTGATAACACCTGTAATTGAAAAAACTCCAACAATCTTCCCCCGACTACGGAGCGCAGGAAGATTAATAAGCCGTAAACGACTTTTGTAAAAAGACAGGATCTAATTCGAGTCCTAATTAATTTCTAAACGTGAATAGTAGCAATTGATTTTCTACAGATTCCAGTTTATCACTATACAATTGCGAGTGCAGACTCCGTACAACTGAGCCATTCTATTTGGTAATGTATGGACCATTGAACTCCTTAGCACAGCGTTCAATAAAATTTAAAACGCCTTTTGCCTTATACGCACAAGCATTAATATGATTTCTAAAATCTAGCTTAGGGTCCATTCTGGCACCTAAATCGAAGTCAACATTGTGATTACGTATCATATCAGGTGTACAACTTTGCTTCCGCCGTTTTTTCCATAATTAAAAGCTTTATTGCGAAAAAGTGCTTACATTTATATATTTTTCAACTTTCTCCCATCTTTTCGGCAATTTTCGGGGAATACGGCGGGTGGGGCAAGACTTCCCATTTCGGTTTTAAGAGCTCGTAGTAAGTCACACCGAGCTGATCCCACCAAATACACCTTCCACCACCATGTTTGTCTTCGACATCGAAATTACCATTTTTAAAACGTTTAAACCACTCCCGGCTCGTTTTTTCACTCAGAGCAGCATCACCGTAAGTTTCTGAGAACATTCGATGCGCTTCAGCTGCACTTTTTTTCGAATTGTAATAGAAAAGTAAAACTTCCCGTAAATGGCGAGAATTAGGCGCATAAACGGACATTTTCGAGCGTGAATAATACGAAAACAAGAACAACTATCACTGAAACGGCGATGACAATTCGTTAGGCACTGTCCACACTCACTTTAAAAGCATTATCATCTATATATTTCAACCAGCCTCAGCCGGCACAGCCACCTATCGGAAAACGGCTGAAGTAAAGTTGCACACCTGATATATTCAAAGGATTGAAAAGATTTGCTTATATTCAAACTTAGGGAGTCAAGTTGGAAAAATTTTGAGGAACATTACCGGGTCGTTCCGGTACTATTGGTTTTTAGTCGGCTCTTACGACAGGCATGCCTCACCGCGGGTAAATTCTTGAGTCCCTAACCCACAGGGGGGTTTGCTACCAGTCCTCCTCAAAAGAAGTGATCTGGGGCATCACAATATCGAAGAAGTAATTGACAACAAATTAAAATTCGGTAATAATGGTCCCATATTTAAAAAAAAATGAAGAGGTGAAGTTTTTCTGAAAACATAAGTTCAATCGCCCTTTTTTTAGTTTTACTTATGAAAAAAAGATATGTTTGGAATGCAATCCAGAGACCTCAGGCATATACATAGTTTCCATTATAAATATCAAATAAAGTATCTCTGGCAAGAGTGACAAGGAAAAGCATGTGTACAAACCAAAAACTTTAAGTGGAGAGGCTTGTTATGCAGCTTTTGGCACAGTATGCAGAACCCATTTCTCTGCACAAAGAGCGCTCGAAAATTTTAATTCAACCGGCTCCGTTAAATCAAAACCACGCTCTGGAAGGCCGCCACAATTGACCCGGATTAACAGCTGCGAAAATTGGACAGGATATCAAGCAGAAGTTTAATGAAGACCTACATGCCCGTATTGCACGGAAGAAACCCCTCATATCGCCAGTCAACAGAGAGAAGCGCTCAGCTTTCGTCAAAAAGTGTCCAGGAGCGTGTAGCTTTCTGGAATAATGTTTTATTGGGGTTGGCTGCTGACTTCTGGTTCCAGCATGGTCATGGCCCAAAGCACACTGCGCACACTATGAAGCTTTGGTTTCTCTATAATCTGAAAAACCGGTTGCACTTGCCACCCCATACTTGAACCCCATAGAACATCTATGGAATTTCCTAGACCTCATTATTCGTATACGGACAACTACTTCATAAAATATGTTGACGGAAGTGATTATAAAAGAATGGAATAAAATCTCGACGGACGTAACCCAAAAAGTAGTCCAATCGATGCCAAAACTTTTTCTTCCGTCAAATCATATGAATTTTTACTTTTTTATTTTTTTTGGTACTAACTATATTATGAATATTAATAGTAATAAAATAAACTAAGTTAATATCTTTAATACAACTATACTTTTTTTCCTTCAAAGTTACACGTTGAGTGTGTTTTTCTGGCAAGTGTATCCCCATTTTATACGTCACAATTTTAAAATGCAATGGTTCAAATACCATCAAAAAAAATCGAGGTTTTGTTACTGTAAAACAAGAATGTTCGTGAGCAAAACAGCCACCTCATAAACTTTCACCGGTCGTTCGGAATCGGATTAGAACAAAAAACATCAAGACGCAGACCACAAATTGGACGAACAGGTTGATGAGGTTAATATTAGTATTTCATATTAATACTAATATATTAATATTAAATACTAATATATTAGTATTTAAATAATAATAATAATATTACAGATTTCAAATTATTACCAAATTTATACATGTATGAGTAACTTAATAGACATGCAGGCAGTTAAGGGAATTGTAATTAAAGCTTTAAAACAAAATGTACTTGTACATGTACATACGTACCTACACATATGTTAACATAAATATGCATGTGAATAAGAAAGTAATACACAATCCCCAAATTTGGATACATTCGTGGGTGTATAGTGAATAAAAACTGGTTTCTGCCATGAATCTTATGTCGCTGCATACCCGTGAAGCACAGACATCGATTACTCTTGTTACCAAATTGATCCTAAAAATCACCGGAACGTTGATACATCTGAATTCCCCATATTCAAAAATTTTCAAGTGTATATTTGTTTGTAAATAAATTCTTAAAGCAATGTAACATAATTTTAAGATTGGTTTGGTAGCAATGTGTATAACGCAAAAAATCTTATGTGCTTCAAACTTGTTATGAGCTACTTCGATTTTCGATTTTCACTAGCTGTTGAAAATCAGAGATTGAATTTCAAATTCTAAACTCGTGCATTCATTTTTCCCTTGAACAATAACAAAAGGAAAACAAAACGAAGATTATCTAATTAAATAACATATAAAAATAATAATTAATATAACTTTGGGGCCAAATACAACAATTAGAAATTAATACACATATTATATATAGCATTTAGATCAAACTTTTCGAAATGCCCCAAGAAATGTAGTATGTTGATAAAAACTATATTCATTAAGAAATGGTAAAAAAATAAGGGACTTTAATTTAAAATTTATAAAACTTTGGCTTAAATCCTGTGGGGCAAATATTTCTCCGGGAAGCCCGTAGTGCCGATACGATTTGTTATCTACAACAGCGAAGTTTTGACTGCCAGCGTCAGTATAAACTTTTAGTCACAGCCGATACGGAGCCCTACTCTTATCTCCTATAGCGAATGCCTCCTAAAGTTAAATACTTTTATGTTGCATGAGTTATATTCTTCACACAAATCATAACGATTTAATTCTGTAGAACAAAAAAACTATTGTGGCCGTCGAATAAACGGTATGTGTTAATAACATTTAAAATAAATTTTAATTTTAATATTTAAACTAGTATATATATTAATATTAGACTTCAAATTATTATTAGACTTATGAATTGAAAGATATGTACATAAGAGCCTCGGGAGAGTTTTAAATCCTCTTACAGTTATCAGACTATATAATATAAGATCTTTCGAAAAATCAAAATCTCTGATATTTTTAGCCAATGGTTGGTGCAAAACTATTTTCGCCAAACCACATTGCAGCAGTTTATTACAACAATGAAATCAATACTATTCTGGATAACATCCATTGATCTATCGTGACAACGACCCTTTCACTACGGTCTTTCACTTTTTACCAAAACCTGGCTATAGAAATATGGTCAAAGTGGTTACGCAAAAATCAATATAGCAGCTGAATATTTTTAGTTATGCTAATTAATGTGGCGGCTGCGGTAGCCGAGTGGTGAGCATTGCGTACTGCCATTCGGAAGGTCAGAGTTCAATTCCTGGTAGGGCCAAAATTAAAAGTTATAGAAAATTAATTAAAAAAAAAAATTAAGTTAAATTCTCTATTGCGATGGCTCATCGGTAGGGAATGTCAACCCCTCCGAGTGTAATTGTGACATGAAAAAAGGCTCCTAATAAAAAAAACAATCAGCCATTCGTATGCGGTTAGTATGAACTGGCGGTCCCCACATTTGTTGGAGAAACATCAACAGAGTTACAAGGCCCCAATTATATAATTGATCTAAAATTACATAGCTTCCCCACAAATGTTTTTATTTCCAAATTAATTGGTGTTTATTGAATAAATATTAATAGTATAATTTTACTTTTTATTAAATTACCTGATTTTCATGTGGAACCCAGACAAGACGTTTTTGTGTCCACTCCGCTTGAGTAGCTGGATCGTTAAATTGGTTCCGTTCGACGGACAGATATTTCAATTCGGGATCGTTTCGATCGATTTCTTCAGCCATTTTATTGCAATTAATATTTTAGTTTAAATAATTGTTATTTCGGCACTTTTTGTCAATTTCGCAACTAAGCACTTATAAGATTAATAACTATTTCACCTGCAAGCAAAATTTATAAATAAATAGATAAATGTTAAGAATGCAAACTTGGTTTCACTGCTATCTCCTACGAGATAAATTATTATGTTACACTATTTTGTCTGGTATGGGCAAATGAAAAATGCTTGTCACATAATGCAGAAAGCTATTTTTTTAAGTATTTTGAATTAAACACTGTTTCTTGGTTTTTTGGCATGGAAAAACACGTAAACAATGGTATTCCAACTGGAAGTTCAAAATACTTTCTTTTAATGTATTAATTTTTTTCTTTCACAACCTGCATTCTTTTTTTGTTTTTATTATGGTATTTTCATTGCTTTTGTTATGTGAAAATTATTTTAGTTGCAATTTTTTTCTTTTTATTGGAACATACTTGTTAGTATCTATAAGCAACAGTGATTTAATAAATCTATTCTAAATAACACAATAAAAAAGTATTTCTTATTCTGGTTTTATTTCTTTAGTTAGATTTCCATAAAGTATGTAAATGTAAACGTTTGCACATATGGACAATTAATTTCTATGAACAGCGGTAACATCTTTTAATTTTCTTTTTAGTCAATATACCGAGTTTCCAGCAAATTTTAAAGATAATTTTAGGTGGGGTCAAACATATGTAGAAGAAATGAGACGATCTCTTTTAAACTATTATTTCCCTTTAAGCTTCAACGCAAACCTCATTTCGCGAAAACATATATACAAATTTTGTGCCAATTAATAATCACAATGTTTAAACAAAAAAAAATTAGATTCACTTTAGAGACGATTTACCCGTAAACTATTTTAGAGTAACTTTAAAATGAAGTTGCACTGAATTTTTTCCCGTATAAAAATCATTAAACCACTAATTTTGTACTTCACTTTTTTGCTCGTGATGGTCTTCACCATTTGTATTAGCTTTTTTCATTTTATATACTAATAAAACAAAAAATATTGAATGTCTAAAGGAATTCCAATAGATTTCAAATTCCATGACAGTTTGATCCTTCCTATGAATAATATAATATTTAACTCCTTAATTTTAACGCGTACTTTCCCACTTTGTTCCTCTTTCGTTAAACGACTTCTCAATTACTCTACTCTCAAATGACTACGTCTAAAACGACCGGCATCTTTCCTCCAATCGAATATCTGCCAACAGAACAGTGTTGCAACTGAGCGCGCATTTCTTCATACATACATATTCATATCTACTCCCAAAATTTTCAGTCATAATCAAAGCAGTCATAAATTTACCTAACCCAATAGATGCTATTTAAAATAAACAAAAATTGTTTCTATTTTTGGGAGAAACAATGATATTGCTATAATTAATCATTTTTTAATTGCAAAGCTGTTTCTGGTGTCTGTTTAAAATGTTCGTTATGCTTTATTCGTTTAATGCATTCCAATAAAGTTTCTCTTTGTCATCGTTTTTGGTCTAATCGTTTCACGCCTGCATCATCACTACGGGACACCTTTACTTAGATTTCTAATACCATTATCACTCACACATTCACTCTTACTGAATTATATATTTATTTAATTTAAATATTTGAAAACCGGTAGAATTTTTTCCACAAATTATTAATTAAATGCATAAACAACTGCAAAAATTTTATTCCCACTGCGGCAGAAAACACGTAGAAACGAACAGCTTCACGGGCGGATTTCGTTAAGTTTTTTATGAGTGCTCGTCGATTAATTTACAATGGTTGCATTTATTGGTACTTATATTCGTTCACACATATATGGCACCATTATATACTACTTTTTTATTGGCGTAACGTAACTTGAATATAATTTCAAGCTTGAATACAATAATTAAAACATATTTTTTTCTCTCTTTTCAGTCGACTTTATAAGTATTTGATATTAAACGTGTTTGTTACTTTTCGTGCCACTTTCACTTAAAAATATCTTATAATTTTAAATAAACCCAACATTTGGGATGTTTTAATATTTTTTCAAAATAACATGTTTTACATTTTGCGAACCCTGATAGGGACTTCAAGGATTATATATGAAAGTCATTCGTTGTATTACAACTTTTGTAAGCTTTACCAAGGGAAGGACGCTAACTCATCAAAATTAAAATAAATCAATTTCATTGAGATGAGGAGACAAATGGATTTCTTTACATTCCTCGGGCCCGTAGATTGCAAGGGGGCCCGGTGTTTTCAATGTCGTATATAGAATAATTTGCTTCTAGAATATCTATGACGAAACTGACTACAGATTTTCATGGATTGCGATACTAATTCTACGCGTCTGAAAACAAACAGTAATTTTGTTACTTCACATATGATTTATGGTTTGCATGTTCTTATCTTACAGTCATTGCAATAAGATTTAGTTTTGTATGAGAAAGATCAATTTTTTTGCTAGCTCCGAGCGATCATTTAGAGTACTTTCAAGAAGAAAGAACTATCATCGTTCTTGTTCAAGCCAATCTCGAGTCTCAGGACTGGCAACGTTATGTTTGGAATCTCAATTAGCTAGAAAACTTGACTTCGGTATTATCATTGAGGAATTTGCATCAGCTAACGCAAGGAAGGCGTCTTTTTGAGGGTTGCTACCTATTAAAATACTATTGTGATGCAAACTAAGGTAATAAAATTGTTTAAACAAAAATTGTTCCAGATTAATCATTCATTTTCATTTTTATTCAAGTTCTATTCTATCTCAATCCCCAACTCGTTGATTTACAGTGTAAGTATAAATAAACATATTAGTTAAATCATGAAATTAAGGTGTTGGGGGCCCGCATTTGAATTATCCCCGGGCCCCGATTTTCTCTCGCCAGCCCTGGTAATATCCGTTTAATGCCCTGTGAATCAAGGACAATATATTTTGTGACATGAATGTCAGCACGTCAATGATTGACATTGGAGAGAGGGTCGAAATTAAAATTACAGGGTAATAAGTCAGGCAGTGCAGTCTTTTTTTCTGAATATAACATATAACTTATAATATTATATTATTTCCGTTGCATTGACTATAAAGTAACCTAACTTTTTCCTGTCTATTTTGCGTACTCGTCCTTATCAGTTGGTAAATTTATTCATGCAACTCTGTGCTTAAAAGTGAAATATAACCACCAAGACAACTGAAATGAAAAACGAAATCGATCAGATGATCACAGCTTTGAGCTTTAACCGGAAATAGATGATAAGTTTGTCACTTGTCACAGTAACAATTTTTACTGAATCGTGTTCGTTGAGCCAAAAGCTCTGTACAATTAGTAATGAAAGAGCAATGAAAAAGTTGCAAATTCGTGCCAGTAAAAACTAGAAAGTATGAAAAACAACTGATTTGTGATCATCCCTGCAAGAAAGGGCTGATGTACATACAAATTGAAGTCTCCTTCAATTGAAGTCTCTTGCAGTTGAACGAATAATCCGTTTTATTTTATGTTCTTATTTTCGAGTAGGACGCCATTTTTATTTTTTTCTCCGTAGAGTTAGAATATATAATATTTCTAGTACAATGATTGATTTTGGATTTCTATAATTTACCAGAAAACAGTGTCGACCAAATGAGCCGCAAAACAAATGTTAATGCTTTCTTAATCTTTCGGAAACGACGACGATGCACAAAATTAAATATTATTAGCATTAGTAGGAATAAAAAGCTCTTGCTAAGTTTTTAATTAAACAAAATTGAATGAACTCTATAAAAATATTAATTTCATACTTACTGAAAATCTAAGCGACAAACTGTTGCAAAGAGTGCAATTCATCAAGTCTCGTCCTTTTAGAGAACTATCAGAAAAATCACATTGATATCTTTATCTTTGGACGGCTATAAAGCATACAATTAACAAACAATAACTTAAAAATGTCACATAATTGCTAATTTTATTAAAACACTTAGGAAAACACTTTAAACTGTATAAATGCTGGTTTTTACTGACATGTCTCAAGGAACGCATGTATTATATTTTACTGATCCGCGTTCGATGAGGTAAAGGCACAGTAAAATTTGCAGTTATTATTTCCGGCCTACAAAAATCTTCTTGCTTTCAGAGGACTGTCTGAAAAGTTATATTGGTATCTCTTTGGTTTAACGGCTATGAAACATGTAGAATTACATCACTATTGTGAAGCAACAGTGACGACTTGAATACAATTTATAAATTAAAAGTGGATTGTGACTGCCATTTTTACTAAAGTTCTTAAGAAAATACTTAAAAGCAGGAAACAATAAACTGTATACGTGTATACGTGTATGAACTGATTCAAATTGTAACTGTCAAAAGTGTGTTCGGCGAAATCAGTATCAGTAAAAATTTGTATTGAGAAAGCGCAATTTTGACATTACGTACTATTTGCTGGCTAATTTGTACTGAATCCTGTTCAGTGAAAATTCGGAAAGTTGAGAGGCTAAAAAATTTTTCTATTTCGTTAGTGGCTTATTCTTACCGACATTTCTCACCAAACACAGCTCTTGCAAGCGAAGGCGAATCCAGACATTTCAATTATGTTGTTGATTTTGCATTTGTACACCAGCTGTCACCTGTAATAAATTCGCCTTGTGAATTTCAATACAAGTATTAACTCCGGTATGTCTAATTGTGAAAAATTAATGCAAACAAATTAGTTTGTTTTAATAAATGTATTTATTATATTAATTTGATCTAAGGTATAAACATACTTTAGATTAATATGTGCAATCAGGGTAAATTTAAGTATTTTTAAGTTAGAATCTGCAAGTATCTTCTACTAAAGAAGGGTGCAGGAATACTTAAAATAAAAACAAACGGGGAACGCCTACTGAACTGTAGGTACAAAAATTTGGGCGTAGATCGCATTAAGGAAACCGATAGCGGTATGTATGTATCATCGGATAACAGTTCATTTTAATTCCTAATTTTATTTTTTAGCAAAATTAAATTGAGGGTACAAAGCAAAATGGCTGCAGCCTTAAATGACACGCCCACGCCGCAAGAGATGACGTCATTGCCATCACAGCAGGTGCTACCAAATGGTATAAGTGGGGGTGATGGTTTAGTATTTATTATCATTCAAAGAATTATTTAATTATCTTAGGATATCAACCAGAAATAAAAAATGAACCACCAGAAGACATTGATGATACTTCTGTTGCTGTGCCCATTGGGAACTCAACCCTGAGCAATATTCAAAAGAATTGCCCTATAATACGGCTCACCCCAACAAATAAACTGATGCCGATATCAAATGCAGTGGACCCGAAGCGAAAATTTGTTTGCCCGTATAATAATTGTACAAAGAGCTATGGAAAGAGTTCACACCTACGCTCTCATTTAACATGGCACACTGGCATTAAACCTTTCGTTTGTTCGGAACTAAACTGTGGTAAGGGATTTACTAGATCCGATGAGCTTAATCGCCACGTGAGAACACATACAGGAGAAAAACCATTCGAATGCATACAGGTTCAAATAAATCTATGTATTTAAAATAATATTTGCTTAAAAAGATTTCTAATAACTAATTAATGCATATATTTACAATTTTACAGTGTACAAAAAAATTTTCGCGAAGTGATCATCTCACTAAACATCTTGCAACTCATGCTAAGCAAATGCTGAATGGTGGAAATGATTCTAAAAATTCAAGAAAAGATGAAAAGCGGCTTAAAAAAGGCAGCAATTTAAACGGATTAACCAAACACGAGTTTGGTGAACCCAGTAAAGCGGAACAATACCTGGGCAGCATGCATTTTATGTCAGCTTTGGTTGAAGGTTGCAGCAAGACGGAATTTGTAGACCCTGGAACAGAACCCAAATTACTGTCTGAAAATCTTACTGCTGAAGCCTTGCCAGACCATAAACCAATCAAAATAAAATTAGAACGCCCTGAAAATAGCGAGGAGTATCATATAGTCCACACAAAAGCTCCTGAAGAAAAAGAAGGAATCTTTAATAAAAGGTCTCCTAAAATTTCGGAGCCTGAAACTAATATGCAAGTTTCTTTATCGAACAATAAGAACTTAAATGAGGTAACAAGCGGTGGGTTTATGGGTTGGCCTGAGCTTGAGAAAAATGCGCTGGGGGATTTATTTGATCCACATCGTCCTTGTCGTTGTAGCATATGTCACAAATCTTTCAGACGCCAGGATGAGCTCAATCGTCATCTTCGGACACACAGTGGAGAGAAACCTTTTGTGTGCACTGTATGTGAACGGCGGTTTAAGCGTAGTGACCATCTGAAAAATCATCTCAAAACTCATACTAATTTACGGTAGTCATGTAAAAAAAATGTAAAAATATTAGACTTAAGATAATCTAATTTAGTTAAAGTTTAAAGGAATATATTATGTTATCCTTTTAAGTATTAAAATTGTACAATATATTTGAATAAATCAGGGTATTTTAAGCATATTCAATGGTATCTCGTCTTATCATACATATATTACGTTACATAAGATGGGAAACCTGACGACACTTAAAAAGTTTTTCGTTTCGATTTCCGGTTATTTCATTACTGATTGATTTACAGAACTTGGGTACTTTGCGTATTAATCACGGTGACAAGTGAATGAAAAGGTTAGCGCTGCTTCCGTTTCTGCCTTAAAAGAAAGTCGAAGTCATCCGATCGGTTGGAAGGATAAAGTTGGCAGAAGTACTAAGGAATAAAATAGTAAAATAACGATATCTTATAACAAACATACCAACTTTGATTTAAATATGCTAATATTTTATATGGCTTGTTGTCGAGGACGACTTCCAGGGTTTTTAGGAGGTAGTTCTGTTCTTGTTGTTGTTGTAGTTGTTCACTATCCCCGTTTAGGGACAGGTTTACTTAATCTAAGTCGGCGAGGTTACCTAATGAGAGGTACAGGAAAGGTGCTGTTTCGATGGAATGGGACCAGAGGGAGAGGTTATATAAGTCTGCTCAAAGGGGCATGTGAAGAGGTGGTTAGTGTGGTGCGGAAACTCTCCACATGCAGGGCATACACTGGGAATGATGGGGTCGAGTCTGGATAGGTAGGAATTTAAATCGCCGACTAGCGATTTGACTATTATGTTGCGGCTCTGGACTTTTGCGGTTGTATGTGGAGTGCAGACTATCTAGTGTTACTCCCAATATTTGGGTCATTGGGATCGGAAATTTTACATCATCGACCCTTACATCTAATGCAAGCCAGTACTCCTTCGTCCAGGTGGTGAAGAGGGTAGCCGAGGATTTAGTCGGTTGCATTTTTAACTGTTGAGCAGTGAAGAAGTGCGAAAGATCGGCAAGGTAGCAGCTCACTTTCGAACAGAGGTCATCAATATCCTGGTCAGACGCCATTATCGTGCAATCACAGTTAGGGAAACTCCTTCTGATGGAGGAGGGTGTTTCGATATGTAAAAATTAAACAGTATTGGGGAGAGAACACCTCCCTTTGGAACCCCCTGTTTAATTTTACTAAGTCTCGATGTTTCAACTCGGAATATGACCGATGATTATCGGCCACTCAGGTAGCCAATGATCCATTTCTACAACCCCGGCGGTAATGAAGATTCCTCAATATCCTTTAGCAGCACTGAATGATTGATTGTGTCAAAAAGCTTTTAACAGATCCAGTACTACCAGGACAGTTCGCGCACAAGGTCGGTTTTACTATCTGAGTGTTTATGGTGTTTAGTGGTGTTGTGGTACTATGAATTTTATGGAAGCCATGATGATGTGCTGCTGAACGCAGAAGGTGAGTAAAAGTCGGGTGCAGCAAGGCCTCAAGTGTCTTCGCTCCTGGAAAGAGAAGACTTATCGGCCGATAAGACTCTCCTTTGTTGGCTGGTTTCCCCGGCTTGAGTAAGTCTGCTCCCGCTGGCCCAAGATGTTTTCGCTTCAGCATGCCTATTCCGTCGGAGCGGATGGATTTAAAGGCTTTCGCCTTCCCGATGACCACCCTGAACCTCTTCCCTGCCGAAATCAAGCGCTGCTCGGGTGTTTGGCAGACTGCGCATACGGCAGGTCACACGTCGCTTCGTTTTGTCTACCGAAGGATGCAGTGTAAAAAGTCGGCTAAATTAGCTCGCGCATCTCATCGGGTCCGACGAGGCGTGTTCATCGAATGAAATTTCCACTCTGTCATCGCGCCTCGTCGGGTTAGACAACGACTTGATTGGTTGCCCCAGAGATGAGAGTACAGGTCCTAAAACGCTCCTCTCACTTTTCCGCTTGTGATTGTTCACCACTTTACGAATCTCCGCGTTTAAATCCCTGTTTAGGGGATTGCCGGGATTGGATTTAATGTTTGTGGATTTATCTTCCGTTATCCTCCATACGAACCCGGCTATTGTCAAGTTTTCTAATGATCTTCCTTTTCTTTGGTTCACGAGAAGTAAAATTATTTTAGTGCAAACAAGTAAAGAAAGTTTTAAATAAAAAGTAAAGGCACAATTACGCTCATGATAATTGATAAACCGCCCACCTGCCAACAGTCGAAAAAATTTGTTCTTAAATAAGGGCATTATGAAGAAGCTGCATATCAAAATAATTGTCACAATAAAATTTTAATACCGAGAGATATGGCCATTTAAAGTTGAGCAATCTCGAGTTGAATTTTTTGTGTTTTCTACTATATATATGTATATAGTAGCTCACAGCCAGAGTGATGCTGCTAACTAAGAAATAGTATGAATGTTTTATTAAAAATTAAATAAATTTTCCAAGAAACATGAATGCCAGTTAATAGCCGCGGGTATACACATTTTATTTATGTTTTAAATATTTATGTTTATTTTATGTAATTTACAACAAAAAGCTAACTTCACTATTAAATGGTACCTAACAGCGAAAATTATGCACAAAGATTTACCGTTATATTCGGCGTCTTGTCGACAATTTTTGAATGCCAAATAAATACCACTATAATCGAGAGCTAACTTGGTATACTATGAGATAATTTTTATATTATAGTGTTGACATTGGTTGAACCGCCCAACAAGTATTGAAGTGAGGAAATTAATCCCAAGGCATTATAATTATTGCAAGCCAGGACAAAATCGTGAAAATGGTTAAATTGAGCCAAAGAACCGTTCAACATATCATTGAACGCTATGCTCGTGAAAGTCGTGTGTTAAATAAAACTAAAACTGCTCATAATAAAATATTTAATGAAAGTGATTCCCGTGGATTGTACGGAAAATACATGAAAACCTCCACTCAAGTGCTCCAGCTTTAGGTAAAGAAATGCTAAAATACCGTGGAAAAAAGTGTAACCCAGAAACCATTCGAAGAATCCTTTGAGAAGCTGATTTCAATGGCCGCACAGCTCAAAATAAATCATTTGTCAGTGCTAAGAGTCAAAGTGCAAGGCTGAAATTTTCAAAGGACCATGCACGAAAGTAAAATTATTTTGTTTAGATGTATGGAGAAAACCAAATGCTGCGTTACAACCGTAACATTTACATAGCATTGTAAAACTTGGTGGAGGGCATGTTATGGTATGGGGATGCATATCGTCTTCTGGAGTTGGAAATTTGGATTTCTTCAATAGTAGTACTATGGATAAGAATGCTTATTTGGACATTTTAAAAAGAAATTTGTTGTAAAGTGTCTCAAAATGAAATATTCGTGACAAGTTTCGGTACTATTAGATAATGACCCGAAACACAAATCACGCGTTCTGCAAAGTTGGCTTATTTGGAACTGTCCGCACATAGTCCGCATGTGATTGAGAGTCTGTGGCATGGAACAATATTGCTCACGACTGCACGAAAAAGTTAGTGGAATCCATGCCCAAACGTATGAAAGCAGTCATAGACAGAAAGGGGTATCCTATTAATTCATGTTTTTTGCAAAATTTATTTAATTTTTAAATAAGACTTATTATAATATTTTTTAGATAGCTGCATCACTTTGGCTGCGAGCCATTTTATATGCTTTTGTTCATAGTTGAGAATGTCGAATCATATATCTTTTCTGCCAGCTGCATCCCTCCACGGTCATTTGAACCAAAACCAAGCGGCTGTCGCCACTGAGTAGCGCACCTATGGCAACTAGGCAAGAAGTAGCCGTCGATAAGTCGATACTGCACGGTGTTGTGTAGGATGAAAAACCGGCCTCCACCATGGTCCCGCTTGAGATCCTTGTGAATGAAGACCTGGTGAGCCACTCATTATTGTCCCCTGGATAGCAGCTATTGGCCTGGAGTCCGTTGCAATTAAATGAATGTCATGCTGTGGGGAGCTCCGTGAGAAATGAAAGAATGGTAACACATACGAATAATTTACACATTAGAAATAATCAGTCGGATCATTGTGTGTCGTACCGCATGGTGTTAACCCGTTGATGGACTTAGGCTGCAACTACCAATTTCACTTACCAGCCGTCCATAAGTGGCGACGAAAAGGCGAGATAAACACACGAGTTATCGACGCCGCTGAGAGCGACGAAATGTTGCCAGCTGCCTGTGTGTTTGCACACTTTTGAACAAATTCATAATTTTCATCAACAAATTTCATAATTTGTTTGCTTGAACATAAACACAAGGCAAATATACATGATCTATATGGTAACAAATAATTAGTTACGCATTTATTTTTCATTTCTTTTGAACAAAACTACGCATTATCTTCGATTATTTAATGTTACTTTAAGAAAGGATATACTGGCAACCTTGTTTAGCAACGAAAAATGAGCCGAGCCGGTTTTATGGAAAAAATCAAAACTTCGTTGGTTTCTGCGGAACAACCGTCACTAACGGCATGGGCATGCGGTACAACTTTGTGTTTACATGGCGCTCTCATAAGATAGGTTACTATGGACGGCTGGTACGCGCGTTGGGTAGTTCCAGCCTTATACTAATGTTACCTGTTGACCTATAAGGCAGCCGAAAGAGTGACAGACCTTGACCGATTAAATCATTGTCAACTCGGGCGCGTAGAACCGTCTGTCATCAGAGTCTACGAATATATAGACCTTGCACATCGTAAGGTGATTAAAAATTTATTCAAGAATTTCCAACTTATATAAAATTATTCTTCCAAAAAAGTCCGTACTAGACGGAAATAATATCTTTACAATAGTAGCTTCTTTACTCTTTACAGGATGTTGTAATTCAAAAGACTGAGGAGAGTTCACATCCTCGGGGTAAAAGGTCTCTTCAGAAATTTGTTGCCCAGCTTCCGTTTGAATAATTATTGATAGAGTTTTTGCCACAAATCCTCCCTGGAACTGAAACAAAAATTTGCTTACAGCCTGTGGTGATTCAAAACGGATTATTATCCATTGCGGTAGACCCTAAAATAAATAGAAATATACTTTATTTATTAGGTGCTTCTGATTTAATCATTTAAAGAGATATCAAAACAACTAGATAAATATAAATCGAACCTAATTGTACTTTTTTTTCGTCTTTCTCTATCCCACGATCTAATCTTACATATATTGATTAACTGACACACACACACACACACNAAGGGTGACAGCCCTTGGCCGGATAAAATCCGGGTCAACTCCGGTGCGTAGAACCGGCTGTCGTGAGAGTTGATGAACATATGGTGATGAACATATGGTGACATATGGTGACATATATCCGGTTAAGGGAGAGACCAATCTGATCTGTAATTCTTAGTTTTAGGCCGTTTTCCCGCAAGAATAGATCGGTCCCAGACCCACTTTTCGGGAGAAAAAAATGTGCTATATTTGAAAGGTTGTATGCCAATTTTGAAAGAATTGATATCAATGGAAAGGAAAATATATTTTCTTTATGCAGATGTGTTTACACATATATTTTGTCTGTTTAGACTCTAGGAAAACCCAATTCAAGAAAATAGTACAATATTTCTATGCAAAAACTAGTTTTGCTAAAATGGCGTATTATTAAGGGCATCAAACAATGTAACTAAAAAGAGTATGCTCTGCGAGTTAAGGTCTCAAGAATTTGCCAATGATAAAGCATACCTTACTTAACAGGCAACTGATATCTAATAGTTCCTACCACAGTCGGGTCTTTATACCGACTGTCACTACCCCAATAGTCCCCGAAAACCAATCCGGGGAATTTGTTACGGTTACAACAAAAACAACAAAGAGTATACAAATACTTTTGTTTGCATATATTACACATTAGATACTTTTAAATGGCGAAAAAACTTTGCTTTAATTTCCATACTACTCACACACACATTCTCAGACTAAGGCTATATATAGGAAAGAAAAGGTACTGTGCAAGCGAAGCCGCTGTTAGTTCGTCCCCGATGTATTTTACGCTCAACGCGAACATACCCCTATTCGAGATTTTTAGCTAAATTCTTAATTAATTCTATAAAATAGAACATTATTTTTTATTAAGTGAATTTTCTAAAAAGTTATCTTTAGAAAGTATAGAAATAAGGAAAATAAGAAAGGAATCTCACATCCTTTCCAACCATATAAAATAAGTTTCCACAAAAATTTATACCATTATCAGTAAATCCGGGCGAACCATGCCCACTTTTCCTTTTTTTCTACTTTAACGATTTAAGTCGTTGTTGTAACCGCAAAAGGTATAAGTGCAGAATATAGACCGTTGAGGTAAAACAAAATTAATTCATGGTCGCGGTCCACTCTGATTTTCTGGGGCAAGCTTTCATTTTCGAAGATATGGAATTTTCGAAAGTTATAAAACGCTATATCTCAAAAAGTTTTACACCAAATTTGAATCGCGGGTAAGGTGACGAAATTTCCTATTTTCTGATGTGCATACCTTTATACCCTTAGAAGAAAATTTTGGAAAAAATTTAGTAATAAAAAAATACAATTTTTTCGTTATAGAAAACCTAGTTTTTCTTAAAATTTTATGTAATAAATCAATCTTACAACATAATTAGTTGAAAAGATCATAAAAATACCTTTAATTTGGTGTGTGATGCACTCACTCACTTTTCAATAGCGCGAAAAATTTCATTTTAATTGTGCAATTAACGAGCACAAACCATACTCATACTCGCAAATTTGCCTAATTTGCAAGAGTGTTCCACTAAAGAATACTGTGCAAGGCGAATCCGGTGTTGGTTGTGATCAGGGTACAATCCAAAGCGCGGCTAAAGGCCGCCAACTTACAAAGCAGTTGTTGCCACTTTCCGCGAATATGCTATTATTTAAGAGAACTTAAATTGGATATTATATATTAATTTAAAGGTGTTTTCATGCTCTGTTTATTTCTGGTAGTTTTGCTTATTATTATAAAAATTGTAAGAAAAAAAGAATTTCTATAAAAAAATTGTATTTTTTTACTGGATTTTCTCAAAATTTTTCTTCAGAAAGTATTGATATATGAAAATCAAAAAAAAAAAAAGAATTTTACTTACCTTTTCAACGATATCAATTTTTTAAAATTTGGCGTTTTATAATTTTCGAAAAATCACCCTTCGGCCCCAATATCTACGAAAATAAAAATTTGCCACATTAAAATCAGGAAAAAAGGGCGGACCATACCCACTTTTTATTTTGTTCTACTTTAACGATCTGTATTCTGCACTTGTTTCCGCAAAAATATTCTCAAATTGATTTTCGGGGAATATTGCGACATTCCTTAGTCCAATAAAAATCCGCGTCGTTCACGACATTCTTTACCACGGGTAAATTCATGAGCCCCTAACTCGCAATGCTTTAACGGTGTATTCCACACTGGTTCCTCATATTGGATAGAGAATGGATATTCCTCGTTCTAGCGCCGCATTCGCCTATTCATCCAAATGAAGTAGTTTGTGAAAAATGATTCACAGCACTCACGGTCCCCGTATTAAACATAACCAAATTAACTCATTAAAATGTAATGCTTACGAAATTATAAAAAAAAAATTAAAACTTGCTTCGCTTGAATTCCATGAGGTGTCCGGACACGAGTCAAACATATGTTGTTTCCCGTATTGTTTTATGTTTTTGCATTGTACAGAGCTTACACTTAAAAGAGAAATATATACGCATAGAAAATATGAAAGCAATCAGATATATTTTACGAAATATTCCAACCTGCAACTAAATTTTACTTGCTCTAACAATTTCATTTTGAGGATAAACAATCTTTACATTTTTATTCCATAAAAATTTGTTAGGGTACTGCCAGACACAGTAAGCAGCTGTTTCCGTTGAGAAATGTCAACGAAAATTAACCAGTAAGTCTGAGTTTACACTGGGATGCTTCTAGTCGCTTTTTATAGTAAATTCCCCTTTGGTGTCACCCTTCACGATCATACAGATATACTTTATTAAATTTTTTGGACATGTGGTTCTTCTTCATTTTTTCTTTACTCCGCTTTATTTTATACTCGCAATTTTTTGTTTGCCTAGCACTTTTTAATATTTCTGGAATAAAAATGCTCTCTACGTGTTTAAAGGAATACACAGCTGTTGGCTGAGCTTTGATTTGCAGCCCCACTTGATATTGTAAGCAAACAACCAGGAATTTTGACAAGAAACTTCGTAGGAATGATGATAGATATATTTTTTTTCCAATATTTATACTTTTGGAATTTAAATATATTATAGATTATTAGTTATTTGTTGTTATAATTTGTTAACTTTTCCCATCATGCATAATATTTACATATCGTTATACGGCTTTTCCCCTGCATTGTCAATTACAATGTTCGTCCTCTCAATTACGACTGCGTATAACCCCAGGGCAAGCAATTTGGCAGTTTTCAGTTTCGCTTGTTGGTTCCATTTAAAACGCAAAAAAAATAAAGATTTTAATAGATGTTATTAAAATACTGAATTGAATTGATAATGTAAATACCACCATGTGGAGTCCTACAAAAAAGTTTCATTAAATCAATACCTTGAAAAATCAAAAGAGAATGCAAAAAATTGCTTTAAAAACTTGACGCATGTGAGAAGGGACTTTGGCTTGCGTTATGACAAAATGCTATTCTGGCGTAACGCGAAACAAAACTCCTATGTGAATCAGCGTTTAAAATCAACAATAAAGTCGAAAAGTGGCTAAGAAATATTTTTAACATTCCTATACAGACCACAAGTATAAAGTTAAAATGATTAAAGCGATTTTGGTTTTTAACAACCATGGGAAGCCTAGACTTTCTAAATTCTACCAGTATTTTGTAATAAATCGAACTATTAATTTGAGTTTTTGTATTTATAATAGAAAATTTTTTTAGAATGAAGATATGCAGCAACAAATTATTAAGGAGACTTTCCAGCTTGTCTCAAAGAGGGAGGATAACGTTTGCAATTTCTTAGAAGGTGGAAGGTGGGTAAATTTTTATGAAAAAACATATTGATTCTAATAAATATTTTAAGTCTTATTGGAGGTTCGGACTATAAGTTGATATATCGTCATTACGCGACGCTCTATTTCGTTTTTTGTGTGGATTCATCTGAAAGTGAACTGGGAATTTTGGACTTAATTCAAGTTTTTGTGGAAACTTTGGACAAATGCTTTGAAAATGTTTGTGAGTTAGATTTGATATTCCATGCTGACGCAGTACACCATATCTTAGCTGAGCTTGTTATGGGCGGAATGGTTCTTCAAACCAATATGACTGATATACTTGCCCGCATCGAAGAACAAAACAAATTAGTAAAACAAGAGGTAATTATTTTTTGTACGCATGGTTGTAATAATTATAAGTGCTTTTGTTGTTAGGCTGGAATATCGGCGGCCCCAGCTCGTGCGGTGAGTGCTGTAAAAAGTATGAATATTCCACAACAAATAAAAGATATAAAGCTTCCCGATTTACCTCAAGCGATAAAGGACTTAAAATTCTGACCAAGTCAAAGTTCAGCCACGGAAATATTAGATTCGCTTCTTACTAGCAATTTATCAACTTCTGCAACATTCGCTGCTTTGTCGACTGCAGATGCAGATTATTATACATTTCTGAGACAAAATACATATGAGCTCATTGAAAATGAAAGCACGGTCAACAGTATATCAACTCCTTATTTTATTTCTTCAAATAGTTATAATTCCAATTACTACCAAAGAGAATGCGCGATAAATGACGTTGTAATTTCGAAAGAAGATATGAGCCTAAATAGGGGACAAGAAGCAAGCATTAAGTTTGTTAAACAGTCTTTTGATATGGATAAAAAAAAACAAGACCGAAAGAAAAAAACAGAAAATGTCGAATAAATATTGTTTGCAGTAGATCTTATACAGTTGCGTAATTTAAGATTTTTTCTTTAATCTACATATATGATTCACATTCGATAAATGTGTAAAACAAAATAAATTATTTTTAATTCAAAAACAAATCAAAAAGAATCATAATTTTAGTAGTTTTTATAAATAGTTAATCATAGAATTATATTCTAGCGGAATATGTGAATGAATGTTTTAATGAAAAATATATTTATTTTTTTCCTTGAATTATAGATTGATCGAGAATTTAAAGTTCTTGAAATAATAAGTAAAATCGGTGTAGTGGTGGTGGTAAAGGGATTTCGAGAACGTCGTTTGATGGAATAGAGAATAGAGAAGGTGTTAACGAACTTTTGATGAATAGCGTTTCAAGCCAGTAGTTACGTCGTTCTATCCTTCAGCTTTTGTGTAAGAAGCTGAATGGTGGTTCGTCTTCAAGTGACTGCAGATATTGATACGGCAAATGCAGTTATATACAGAGCACAGTAATTGTTGTGAAGTGAAGAAGTGGGGAAAGGTCGGCGAGATAGTAGTTTTCTCTTGAACATAAGTTATCATGGTCAGACGCTAAGATCGACTCAGCATCGGTATATGAGATCAATGACATGCACTCTGGTTAAGGACGGAGTTTCGAACGTAGAAGCTAATCGTTAAACTCGAAACTCTAACAATAATTGACAACCACTCAAGTAGCTCAAGATCCTATTCAACCATAAAGCTAATGAGAAATCATCTATTTCTGATATAAGCACTAAAGTGCTACTAGGATTGTTTGCGGGCAGGGAAGATATTGGCTGGGACCATGGACTATATGGGTGTTAATAGCGTTAAGTGCCGTGGTGCAGAATGTCGAATCTAACTGTTTTATCCTTACGGTAGTTATCAGCTAATAGAAAGGACAAAGGGGGGAGCTCCAAATAGCAAATATAAAAATATTTAAAAAAGTTTGTGAGGTACAATATCAAATTAGATGTCTTTCAAGTTCAAGGGAGCTGCGAAAGTAGTATCCTTGGATTGTGCCATCAAATGCTAGAAAGGGGTGGTCAATTCTCAATGTTAGTATTACGAGTTTTCCATCAGTTTATTAAGGGGAAATCCTTAACCGTTGTTTGCGTTTGTAGGAAATTATCTCTCTTCGGCGACAAGAGTCAGCAAAAATTAGGAGGGTAAGATGTTTTACTCTCCATAATTTTTACTGAATTAGATTCGACAATGACTACTGTGGGTCATTCGACTATAAGTCGGAAGCTCTCACGAGGCCGCCCATTAAATGCTACAAATAAATTTTTATTTTCTTTAGCACAAAGACTTGGAGCTTGTTCAGTACAGTATTTCGAAGAGAGCTTTAGCAAAGGTTGCTGTGCTCCCTATCTGAAAATGAAGTTGTTGAAAGTCTACTCCTTCCAACGAATGCAGGATGTCCGCAGCAGCATTGAGTTTATTTTGTTTTACAGGACTAGTTAGCTTGATCACAAATACCTAACTGTAATTCTCACAAACCCTTGTACTAAAATTTCTTGTAATTTCTTTTATTCTTAAGTAGAGGTGTAACAATAAAGTAATGAGACTGATTATATTGCCGCGATTTTGGTTACCCTGCGACCTTGAAATTCCTTTTCCTTTCTCCCGGCGTCCTCCTCTCCATTGATATATTTGCCATCGCTCTAGCTTGTTTAGTTCGCCTGCTGGGTCGTGTTGAGTAAACGTGTCGTGCAAACGTTAACTGCGCGAAACAGCTTCGGAAATACACGCTAAAATTGTAAATGAGAGCTGGTTTTTTCAATGCGTTCCAGAAACCGAACACCAAACGCCAAATCTCCGCACGCCCTCGCCCGAGCAAGTCGAAAGTGAAAAAGATAATTATCGCCTTTTTTCAAAAGCCGTGGAATCGTCTACGGTCACGGCTTATGAGAGGAAGCCTCAGTGGAGCCACTCCGGCGTCTGCTGAAGCCTAATTGCGGCGTCTGTTAACCAGAGGTGCCGCGTGGGAGCGGGCGCCGGTCTTGAAGCAAGCGGCTCGCTATATAAATGTGTAAAAAAAAGACTTTAAACTAACTCGCCTGGCGAGGTTGTGCGCTGGGTTTGGGACCCGCTACGTACAAACCAGCTCCAATGAAAAATTATACAACGCCTCGGATGAGATACCCCCTTTTTGTTGACAACCCCCGCAAAGGAATTAAGGATCACGATTTGAGGGCATGCACCTGGAATGTCCGGTCCCTTAATTGGGAAGGTGCCGCTGCCCAGCTGGTTGATGTCCTCTTAAATTAAAGGCTGACATTACCGACGTCCAAAAAGTGCGATGGACGGGACAAGGACGAAAGCGAGTAAGTTCTTGTGACATTTACTACAGCGGGCATATAAATGACTTCAAATTTGATGTGGGATTTGTGGTGGGAGAGAGACTCCGTCGTCGAGTACTGGCATTCACCTCGGTGGATGAGCGTATCAAAGTGAAATTTTTTAAAATATCTTTGATTTGCGCCCACGCCTTAGCATAAGAAAAGGACGACGTGACCATACTTATGAACGCTGCCTCCGCCACGATGTCAAAATTGTTCTTTTCGACTTCAACGCCAGGGTGGGCAAAAAAGGTATCTTCGGCACAACGGTCGGAAAATCCAGCGTCCACGACGAAACATCCCCTAATGGGTTGAGGCTGATCGGCTTCGCCGGTGCCCGAAATATGGCTGTCAGTAGTACTAGATTTCAGCACAAAAAGATACATCAAGCTACTTGGCTGTCCCCTGATCGAAAAACAGAAAACAAGATCGATCATATTGTGATAGACGGAAGACATGTCTCCAGTGTTCTTGACGTGCGTACGCTTCGAGAACCCAACATCGACTCAGACCAGTATCTTGTTGTATCGAAGAACGGCCGTCACATAAGGAAAGATTGACGTTCTATGTCAATGCAAATATATTTTAGATCTCTTTGGAAAAGTTCGACGTTGAAAAGCTGCAATAGACTGCCGAACGATTTTCTACTCGACTTGCACTCCTTCAGAGAGGAGGAGCACTGATCAGCAACTCGGTATACGGGACCTGTGGGACAGAATTTCAAACTCTTTACGTACAGATCGCAAAATAGCAGGTACGATGAGGACTGGCGTGACGCAGTGGAGAGAAAACAGACTGTCTACCTCGCAACCTTGCCATCGACGACAACACGTGCGGGATGGGATAGATACCGAGAAATAAAGAGAGAAGCAAGACGCGTTTGTAGACGAAAAAAGAAAGAGGCCGAAATGCGTAAGTATGAAAAGCTTGAGAAGCTGGCCGACAAGGATAATGCTCGAAAATTCTAAGAGAAGATGCGACGACTTACAGAATGTTTCAAGACAGGAGCAGACTCTTGTAGGACACAAAAAGGTGATCTCGCCACCGATGAAAATGGAGAATCCGGAGATGGTAAGCCTGAAACCCCAATCGATGACGATGGAAAAGACGTTCCATTACCTGACTATGAAGAAGTTCGAATGGCAATCACCCGCTTAAAAAACAGTAAAGCGGCGGTAGCTGACGACCTACCTGCAGAACTATTCAAACATGGCGGTGAAGAGCTGACAAGGTGCATGCATCAGCTACTTTGCAAAATATAGTCGGACGAAAGCATGCCCGACGATTGGAATTTAAATGTGCTCTGCCCAATCCATCAAAAAGGGGAAAGTCTGTGCCAATTACCTTGGAATAAGCCTTCGTAGTATCGCCTATAAGGTCCTATCGAGCGTGTTGTGTGAAAGACTGAAGCCACCGTCAACAAACTGTTTGGACCTTATCAGTTTGCCTTTAGACCTGATAAATCAACCATTGACCAGATAATCACCATGCGCCAAATCTTGGAAAAGACTCGTGAAAAGAGGATCGACACACATCATCTCTTCGTCGATCTTAAAGCCGCCTTCGACAGCACGAATAGGAGCTGCCTCTATGCCGATATGTCTGAATTTGGTATCCCCACAAAACTTATAAGGCTGTGCAAACTGACGCCAGACAACACCAGAAGCGCAGTCAGAATCGGGAAGGACCTCGCCGAGCCGTTCGATACCAAACGAGGTTTCAGACAGGGTGACTTCTCATGTGATGCCTTCAATTTGATGCTGGAGAGAATAATAAGAGCTGCAGCTGAGTAGAGAAGATACAATCTTCTATAAGAGTGTACAACTACTGGCGTACGCCGATGATATTGACATTCTCGGCCTCAACAGCAGCACCATTAGTTCTGCTTTCTCCAAGCTTCATAAAGATAATTTCGTAGGTAATGATGAGTCGGCGTTAGGAGGTTTCGAGAGGAAGGTCCTTTGCGCATTGGCAACGGCGAATATCGCAGACGATGGAACGATGAGTTGTACGAGTTATACAGCGACATTGATATAGTTCAGCGGATCAAGAAGATGCGGCTACGCTGACTATGTCATGTCGTCCGGATGGATGCAAATACTTCAGTTTTGAAAGTTTTCGATGCAGTACCCGCCGGTAAAAGTAGAGGAAGAGGAACCTTTCCACTCCGGTGGAAAGACCAGGTAGAGAAGTACCTAGCTGTACTTGGTATTTCCCACTGGCTCCAGCAAAAAGAAGAAACGGAGGGCGCAATGTTGTTAAGTCGGCCAAAATCGCGTAAGCGGTGTCTGCGCCAGTAAAGTAAGTAAGTAAGTGTATGTATATAAAAAATAGATAAAAGAAAAACTATGTATTACTTTAAGGACACACAGAGTTTTTTTATTTTATATATAAAAAGGGCGAGGCGAACGAAAAACTGCGAGTGTAAAATAAAGCGAGTAAAACAAAATGATGAAGAACCACATGTCCAAAAAAGTGTTATAAAACAAATAAAAACCGACAAAAATTATATCCGCGTAAACTCAGACTTCCCTATCGCCAGTTTTGCCAACACCGGCCTTCATCCTTCAAAGGTAACTTAAGTGAATGAAAAATTGTCTGGTGGATTTTTAAATTTTTTTTATATTTTTAATTTTGAATTAAAAATACCATTTTTGTAAGCACTTACCTATATTTTTCAGTCCCTCAATGAACACTTTAATGAATGATACGATGGCGATATTGGCGGCGATACATTTTTATGACCGACTTTGGTGCTTTTTCAATAATTT